TTTTGTATATTACTGAAGATATAAAAACAACAAATATCTTAAGAAATAAATCTTTTCACTTTTAAATAAAAAAATGTGTGTATGCGCTGCACAATGACTGGTGGAAAAGACAAGTGTCTTGTTGACTTTCCATTCAGAAGCCACTTGCTGCAATCTTGATGGTTGTGCAGGAGACTCGACTTCTGCTTTTCAAAGATGTACGGTTGTATAATTGTGCATCTGTTTGCAGCCATTCTCATGTGTGAGTGTAAAAGTTGAGTTTGGCGCCAGCCAGACCTTATTTAAAGTGAAAAGAAACAAACAAAACAGGCAAATCTGAGCAGACTAAAATCTCATTATCTAAGAATAATTTTGTGCAAAAAAAGTAATTATAATTAACATGTTTTTTTTTTTTATCACCCATAGACTCATTCTAACCTGTTCAAGGAAGCATAATAGGTCACCTTTAAGAAACCAAGCATAATCTCCATCTTAAAGCTGATTTAAATAAACTTGGTGTTTATTTAAACTGCGTCGTGACAAACGGACAAATACCAAGGAACTGGTTCATTGGCTGAGTCATTCAGCAGGTGGCCTGGGTTGCCGTGTGAAGACAAGTCCCTGGAGTTTAACGAGTAACTATTTATGACATGTGCGGATTGCGTGTGCTGACGATCATGAACCCTGCAGCCTAATGTCTCCATCCACTCAGCAGACATACTGGAGTGTCATTTTCATGGGTTTGCAAATGAAGCAAATGAAGGTAAAGTCACCAGCAGCTTCAGTCTGTTGATGCACCATTTTAGAGAAGAAACAAAAAGTGCAGGTACATCTCAGAAACATAGGCTATCCTGGCTAATTTAGGTTGGTTGTTGTCTCATAATTGCAAAATCTGCCGCTTTTCCTTCAGGCAACATCGCAGTTATATGACTCTTAATTAAATTCAGAATGTAAATAGGCTTTTAAAGCTGAACCCTGTTGGGTTTAGATGCTTATAATGAAACAGAGGCTCATCGTGATGCACAAGAAGGGAAGTGAAAAGCGACACTGTAACCTTGATCTTTACAAATGGTCTCAGTATTTATTTTCTTCCTGCCCAACAGCTCCATTTCCAACATCACCTATCATATATATTATATATATATTACTGTTATTACATTTACATGAAGACGTTCTAATTACAATCTTTGTTTACACAGTAACGGTACACTTTGAAGAGCTGTAATGCTCTTGACACGCCACCAGTTGGTGCTAGGTATTTTTTTTAAACTAAGTGCGCGTGTATTTAAAAAAAAAAACAAGTTGAAAGCATATCAATTTGCGTTTTCCCATCAGGCACCGTTCCCACAGATACTGGGGGAAACACGCAGTGTGTGTCTGATTAGGGCTCAGTTGGAAAAAAAGTGGGATAACTTCGCTGGAACTCGGTGTTTGAGGTTTTCCGGTGTCCGTAGTTCTCCAGATAAGAGCGCTTAACAAGCACACGTGTATTTTGCACCTGGGCTGTGCAGAGCGGTGGAGAGACGCTGGGGGAACCGAATCTGAACACGAATTGTAGTACGACCAGAACAGTCAATAGTTTCTTCTTCTTCTGTGGATTATAGGAAGCAGCTATGTTTTGCAAATACTATGCATGAGCTGGGATTCCCCGACAGAAAACATCCATTTACTCTGTTTACAAGACGACGGACACCGATACGTTCCAGAACCGTTGCTCTCTGGAACCCGTTTTCAATCTGTGCCGTTGTCAGAGAAAACATTTGGTGGTTTCATGTAAATGTACTCTACAAACACAACAAAACTCTTCCATTTTCACCAGAAATTGTTGTCGTTTAAACAGGCCCTTAAAGTGTAATTAAAGCAAAGCATCGCTCCGCCCCTGGAAAAATTCTAGTTGAGTGGGCGGAGCCAAAATACACTGAGGGGCGTGGTCAAGTGTGGGGATAAGAGCTTTTGTTTACTTTTAAACTTTGTTGCTATTTTTATATTTAGCAACTTTTCAGACCCTTCTGATGACCTTTTGTATTTAAAAAAAAAAGTGACAAATGTAGTGACTTTTTTCTGTTTCGGAGATTGAATAAATTTATCGGCTGTTGTATTTTGGTCCTCCTCTATATTCTGACCAAAACCAGATCCAGTTGGGATTGTAACAGACGCGACTCTTTGCGCTCCATGAGATTTGTGTTTGTTGGGCGCCCTATTAAATTACATAGTGGCACTTGAATGTGACATCATCATTCGTTAATTAACAGATTGTAGACATTTCACATTAAATGAACTAATACAACGAGTGCAGTTTTATGAAAAGTTTCATGCTATTCTTCCACATGATGACAATCATTTTTTCCTCTCATCATTTTCTAAAAACTCGGCAAACTTTGTGAAAATGGGCCAAATTTTAACAACACACCCAAAACTGTTTTTTCCATCCAAATGTGATCAAAACCTGCTGATCTGGCAACATTGGCCAGGTGTCAAAGTGATACAGGGGTTTTCTTAGACAGCCTCAGAAAAACAGTGTCTTCAGTCAGAGGCTTCTTCAAATTTGCTGTAATACAGACTGCTACAGGAGATCTTTCCTACCCACATCCATCGCCACCTATAATAACTCTGTTTTGTTAGTCTAGTTGGAGAATTAACATGAGTTACAACATCATTTAATTTCCCTTTGGATCAGTCAAGAACTTTTGGATTTGAATTAACCAAAGATGTGAGCACTGAGATGTGAGCACTGAGATGTTTTCAGGCAAAATAACTGGATTAAACAAAATTACACAAAAATGTCCAAATTAGCACAGAAATAGAACTATTTAGACACTTTAACAGCAAAAAAAAAAGTTTATTTAGGGGTATCCAAACCTCTCAGTCTTTGCTGTGGTGTAAAAAAACAACAACAACCAAAACCTCAAAAATATCAACAGAAAATGTTTGTTTATGAGCTGAAACTCCGGCTCTCGTCCGCAGTAATTTGAATTTTGCCAATACAGAATCAAAGCTAATAAATCAATCGCTATTTTGTGCCTCAAAACGTGTCAGAGTGACTCAGACTGTGCTGACACAACTGAGGTGTATTATTAGCCTCTTGTGACAGCGATCCAGCCAGAACGAGCCAGGCTGCATGTAGCATAGCGTAACCACAGGCTGAAGCTCATGTATGTTTTATTACTGCGTGCTGCTTTTCATGCTTGCACCCAAGGGGACGCTGCTGAATTTACATGCTGCTGCTGCTTCTAATTCCTCTGGATAATTTCTGCAATGTGTTGCCACATCTATGGCCTACATTCTACATTAGCATTTTGCAACCTGCCAACAACTGGAGAGCCTTTAAAAGAGTAAGGTGCAAACCTGATGACACAGAGAGAAATATTTTATTTTAGGAAATGAGTCTAGCAGATACAAACATAAAAGTGAATTATTTGGCTCCCTTGAAAATAAGGCACATTGGTTGTTTTCACTAAATCAACACCGATGAATTTATAATGAGATTTTCTGAACAGGAGGAAGAGCAGGGGGAGGGAAGAAGGTGGGAAGCAGAATAAAACCTAAAAAATGTTATACAGATTGAAGGGTCTTTTGACAACACTGGCAGAGGAGGCTTTAAATTGCAACGTGTGTGTGTGTGTGTGTGTGTGTTTCCGTGCGTGTTTGTGTGTGTGAAGGAGTGGGAGTCATCCTACTCTGGAGGCTTGAGTGCATTATTTTGTCGTGTTGATGCATTCATGCATGACAGTACCGTAGCATCAATTTTATGGTCCTGGAACCTGTGTCTGTGTGTAGGTGTGTGTGTGTGCATGCGTGTGTCTGTGAAGGAAACCATAAAATCAGAAGATTTAAGCCATAATATAAAGGAATTAGGGCTGAAAAGCAGCACTAAATGAAGGCGTTTGGCCAATTTTTGATAAGAACTCCCCAAAGGAAGCATTTGGCAGAAAACTGGCAGCTTCTTGCTTCTGCTTTAACAATTTAAAAAGCACAAAAATAGAAACAAGTGAGAAGCAAAGAGACCGAGAGGACACCAATTTTCTGTTTTCGAAACAGGGGAAATAGCATGTTTCCTTTTCGTCTGTCACTGACTCAAGAACTATTAGCCTAATTATAGAGAGGAACTGAGAACGATGAGGAAACGTGTGGATGTGTGTGTGTTCATGTTGGAGAGGCAGAGATCTGACCGGTGGTTGGAATTAACACTGACAGATTCATTAGATGTGTTTCTCCTCCAAATTTAACACTGATAAACGACCTCATGGCCACGTAACAGGGCAACCAAACCAATTTCTCCCCACCTTTAAATCGTTACACTTCCAGATTTACTCTCACTGCTGTTAAGCAACTTTGTAGGTTCTGCTGAGGAACTGCAGGCTGGAAGTAGGCGGCTAATAGTGAATACTGAAACCAATAATTATTTTAGTTATTAATTGATCAATTATTTTGACGATTAATTGATTAATTGGGTAAAAAATTGGTGGAGTAGTAATGAATCACGCACCTGTTCTATTAATAGCAGTCGCTTCAATTTAAGCTTTGAGATTTAGAGTGAAATTTTTATGCAGATTGTCAACCTAACATGATGCTAACACATAAAGCTACATTAGCTACTTTTGCTCTGTTTCCTTTTCTTGAATCTGTTGGTTATAGTTTTAATTTTTGCCAGTGGGGTGGCCAACATGGGTTTTGATATTCATGCCAGGACTGTAATGAATCCTTAAATTTTTCCAGTATCTCTATTAATTCTTGAAGAAAAATAATTCATTAAATTATGTTTTACTATTTAGCACACCGTGTGACTATTTGTGTTGCGCAACGCTTTCACTTCTGCCTATGAGTGGTTGATGAAAGCTGGATATTTGAATAGATTTTTGATATTTTTACATTTACAGAGTAAAAGCAGTTTCTTTTGGCTGGTGTATTTTAAGATTTCACTCAGATTAAGTGAGGGAAAAGTGTGAGTGGTGATCGTGAAGGTTTCCAGAGTGGAAGAGGCAAAGCAGTCACAGTCACAACTGTTAAGGAATAAATCCCTGCTGCACCCCTCTCTCTCTCTCTCTCCTGCCCTCTCTCTCCATCCTCCAGCTCTCTATCTCTCCTCTGCTTCTCATTTCATCTCAACTTGGATGTAGCAGCGCATTCATTTTTTAATGACACTCACTGCACGCGCTCCCCTCCTCACCACCTGTTAGCCCCGCATCTCCTCCTCGTGCTGGATTTCAATATTTTCACCTGGTTTTTATGAGGAGTTTCACGCTTGTTCTTTCCTCTGAGGTAAGGAAACATCTTTCATGCATTTATTTTTTGAACAGATGCACGTTGAAGCAAGCTGATCAATATTCATTTTATTTCCGTTACATCTTGACTGCTGGGGTTTTCTCTGGACTGTTTCCTCTATCGCCTCCCATAGTGAGCAGGTGCAACGTGTGTCTGAAATTAAGTGTTTTTTTTCCCACTTTTAGCCACACAGACTTGAAGTTTACTCATCCCTGAAAATAACTTGTCTTCCACTTGACGTGTGCTCAGTTATAAATGATTCTCCCTAAAGCCTATGGAGTAGCGATACTGTCTGCCTGTTACTAGATCGTCGTTCAAAGGTGAACTGATACCCGCGGTACTGATTAGTGCAGTGAAACCACTATATGCGACGGATATGGGCGCTGCGCTAAAGGGGGCGCCAGAATATGGCAGAATAAATATTCGTAGTTGAGAATCTGCTAGAGCGCAATTTTTTTAAACTCATGTTGTCGTCTTATGAAACGAAGCGAATTCTGGAGAGGCAGAAAAGAAGAAGGGAAAAATGCATTTCAGAGAGATTTACAGTCAATAGGTAAGTTATTACAGTCTACAGAGAGGAGGCTTGCAAATATTTAGCTTAATTTGCCGGAAAATGACAGGTTACCGTTTTCTTGCAACTGTGTGGTGTAGTTTCAGGTGTACAGGCAGAACCAAACCAAGTTGTATGCAAGTTATATATTTAAAATAACAGTAGCTCCGTTTCCAAATGTGTGCAAAACTCTGTTAATATTCCACTAATGTTTAAAAAACACAATTTTACAAAAGTCTTGCTTATAATTAATTAAGAAATCCAATTAAAATCACACGTGAACAAGTTTGTTCACACAATGAGTCTTGAAAAAACATGTAGGATCATAAAACTTCCCGTTGTCTTCTTTGTTGTTTTCACCAGTAGTAATGTTCGGTTGTAACCTGCGCAATGCAAAAAGTGTTTTCATTGCAGTTTTGCAAAATTTACTAATTTTAATGCAGCTAAAAAAAAAAATCACCTCATCCTATTGCAAAACTAGATTTTTAAAAATTGCCGTCTTTCCATTAATCTACATTTATATTTACTTTTATACTTATTACAGAAATAATAGATTAATGTCTTTCTGCTGGTGGCTGCTGCTATATCAACTGCTTATTGTAAAGTTATTGATGCTACTTTCAAATAATTGAAATAATCTGCATTTTTAAACCTAAATAATTATGCCACTCCTGACTTTTGTACTGTGATTTGTTAACACCGAGTTTATGTGCACCGGGTATCGATCTGTACTACGATATCGATAACCTTTAACTAATAAGCTGCACGATATGAACTTATTTGTGTTGTTTCCTTGATGAGAAATTTATCTGTCGTACCTGCTGCTATGTGCTTGTTATAAATGAAAATTGACTTCCTGCTGAAGTCGAAGATAAATCCACAGAAAAGACGCTCCAGGCTACAAGCCGCATGCTTCAAAGCTTGGGAAAAAAGTAGCGGCATATAGTCCAAAAAATCCGTTATTTTTCACACATAGTCGCTCAGGAATGATAAAGCATCTCAGAAAGAATGTAGCTGCTGACATACAAAAGGAAGAAATCTTCTCACAGGCACAGGTAATGCCATGAGTGATGGAGAGATAATGAGAGGATAAAGAAGGGGTGAAATTTTGACAGTGAAGATGAGAAGGTGGGTCTGAGAGACAGCGAGCGCCCCATGCCTGTCATATGACTCTAATTTAAAGTGAAGGAGCTAAAAGAGGAGGGTGAGGGAGGCGGCATGTTGCACAGAGATATATTCCTGACTACCGGATGTAAGCTTCCTCTCTCGTTTTCTTGGCTGGAAATCTACGTGTTACAAACACAAGGTGGGGGGGGATGCGTCTTCTGCAGCACAACCAACAGTAACCCAGTTTATTTCTGCAGGAGACAAGATGAGCTATCATGTACAATTACGGACATGTTTGTGTGGATTTATTGTGTGACGTCTTTAAGTAAATTTGGAAAAAACTGGCTTGGAGCTTTTATACCAGCAGAATAATTAAATACTGAAAATGTTTAAATGTGGGATCTCTTCTGAGCGATATAGAAGTATTTTTAGGTTGGCACGCTTACAGAGAAAGATCTTTCATTGTATCTCTTTATGGAAACTCTAGAGCCTTAGCAAGAAGTAATTGATTATTCAAATCATAACTAATTGATTAATCGCTAACTCAAACAAGCCCATTTGCTGAAAGAACAACCCTTTTGACCAATGTGATGTTTCCAATAAATAAAATATATTGTTATTTTAAATTTTCACATTGATAGACACATTGCAGCAAGATGTTATGAGCACAAGATCCTGTCAGTCATCAATAAACTTCTTGCCAACAATGACTACCATTGGTTTTAGCTGTCAAGTTGTCAACAAAACCCACTAAATCTGAAATGTACGCCTCATATATAAAAGAAAAAGGATGTAGTGCTTTGCTCCTTATTGTAAACCTCTAGATAACAGGGTCAGGAAAAAATTCTACCTAAAGAAAAATAGCGAAGGAGATGGAAGCAGTTCAGTTATGCTAGGATGACTATGACAATCTTAACATTTGGATGTGCTGCAGAATTATGTGTGTTTTGGTTCAGTCAAAACCCTTTGGCATATTGTCAGTAGAGCAGGTGTTTGAATGAGCTAATCTACCACCACAGCGTTAGTGTAGTTAATAGCAGCGATAGCTAAGGCTACCACAGCGATCACTTAATAATAATAATCGCAAAATAAAAATCAAGCCTGAAAACATGAAACTGTAATGGACTGAATGTTCTGTTATTTGTTTGGGAATCAAACAACTAGCAGAAATTTTTTTGTGTTTTTTTTGTGTGTTGAATCCTGAGGGGATGTGAGTTGCTATGGCAAAGAGGTTGTGTGTAGAGTAGCTGAAACCGAGATTAAGAGAAAAGAAGGATATGAGTCGTCTTGATTTGTTCTTCAACGATTTTTCCGCGTTATTTTTCCCTTTGCTGTGGCGCTGCACTAAATTAATAGCATGTCCAGGTTTTGTTTTGTTGACGGGATCGTTCATCTGCAGCAGGGCGGATGTGGGTGGTGTGGAAAAGAATCGTCTTTTTGCCCTCCGGCGTTGTGCGCATGAATAAAATTTCCGGCTGCAAACAAAAACATCAGAGTTTTTCCGCCAGGCCTCCCGGAGCTCGGAGCAATCATTGTTTACAAGTGTTGGGTTTGGGGTTTTGGCTTCTGCGCTGACGCTCTCGTGAGCGAGACGACGATGATGGTGGTGGTGGCGGTAAGAAGAAGAGGAGGACCTCCAGCTGGCAGCATGGGGGTGATCAATCACCGGCTCCCGGAAAGCCTTGGGCCCGCCGGCTCCTTGCTGTTGCACGCGTGCTGCTGGTCCTCAAGCTGCTCCGACTCAAGGCCACATCTGCCAGAACTGGGGGGCGAATGACTGCACACATCATGTCAGTGGCCTCGTGAAGTGTGTGTGCGGACGCACGGATTAACGGTCTGACAGAAGCGTGGCTGTGTTTATGTTTGCACAATTGTTTTTGATGAATTATGCATTCAACTGCAGGATTCTCATTATCACAGACTCTAAAGTTTATTGATCTTTGAATCCATTCCTGCTATAAACATCTCCATCATACTAAGAGCTTAATTATCTTGTCTGCAGATTCACCTTAATGCAACGCAATCAGACTCTTCAGATAATTTCTAATAAAGGGCTTTGTGAGTTTTGCTTTAATGTTGGACAAACTGAAATGATTTCCTGTAACTTTGATAAGTGCATTGCCCTATTAGCTACAGCTAGCAATTATTTTAGCATTTTATTAATCCATCCATTATTCTGGTCATTGATTGGATAAAAAATTGGCACATTCTGTAGCTTTCATTTAACCGTGTAAGCCTATTTTATACATAAAAAACTGAAATAATTTTTATTTTCTTTTTAAAGTAAGAAAATAAACATTTTATTGCTTAAAATGCAATAATGCAGCATTTATTTAATGAATGCATACAAGAATGCATCTAACAACATGTTTGGTCCTTTCTGCTTGACTTTATCAATATCGATCTGTTGATTAGTTTTTGGATTAACTGATTAATAATTGTTTGAAAATGGTAACAAGTGGGAGATTTTTTTCATAAGATTTGAAGCAGATGAAGCTGAAACTGCCACGTTACGAGTTCTGGGTATAAAATACTTGCAGATACATGTTTTATTTATCTTAAATGTGAAAGTATGAATTATTTTTGTACAGTTTTGGCTAATTTATTATTTTGAATATGTTGACCTTTCAGCAAATTCACCTTTTTTAATCTGAAAACTCCACTTAATGATTAATAGATTACTTAATTAGTTGACAATTATTTGTGTAACTGATTAATTGCGATTAATCATTTCAACCCTACTTCTAGGTAGAAAGGTTTTGAAAGGAACTGAGACTCTGGATCATCTGGAGAGTTTGCATAAAGAGGAACAATCACAGATTTTTGTCCTTAAGCGCTACAACATAAAAATACTACAATACTTCATCTTTATTAATCGTTTCAGTATTGTTTGATCAAAAGTTGATGTTTTTTCGGTTAATTGGGAGACAGCTAAAAACGTAGCACAACTCCGACATGATGAAGTTATTCATCATACATTCATGAGACCAAAATGGCCGCCGATGGGTTTTCAAAAGTCAGCTTGTCCATCATCTCCCTTCCTGGAGCCAGAAGTCTGCCAAAGTCCTTTCAGCCTAACGAGTGAGGGAAGCTGACGTGTTGGCACGCTGCGCCGGCTTTCAGAGCGCGGTTTCATCACCAGCCAAGATGAAACTGGACGAGCCGCGGAACATCCCGCCCGCCCGCCGAGTTCACAACAGAACGGGGTCGTAGCCAGTGACCCCGACTGCTTGTAAGTTGGTTGACCGAAGGTCAACAGTCAGGAGTGGCGGTTTTAGAGTCACTTTCTGCTGGGGCATAGCTGCTCCGATTAACTTCATTATGATGAATGAACGCTCTGAAACGCTCAGCTCTGTCTATAGTGTTAACTCTGGAGATTAAACTTTTCAGCAAAAGAAAACAAACGACGACGTTGAGATCATCTGATGTTAAAGAATAAGATTAGGAAATTAGATTTCTTTGCATATTGGAGAAGATTGCTCCTTTTCGCTGGTTTTCTGTCTTATCTATTGTCTGTTGTGTCAGCAAATGTATGGAAGAGGATTAAGACCACCAGAAAAAATAAATTAAATAAAATTCTGGCATTAAACTCAGAATTCTGACTTTTTTTTTTTACAGGATTCTAATTCTGGTAAAAATACAAACAAATAATCATTATTAAGTGTATGTGAGTTATGTTGTTGGTGCATAAAATAGTAATAACAAAAATTTTCCCAAATGTATTTTGTATACTTGAATTTTAAGCAAAAGTCAGAATTCTGAGGCAACAAAATCAAAATTTTAGAAACAAAGTCAGAATTGTGAGGGAAAAAAATTGGAGAAAATAAAGTTGAAATTCTGAATTTATAGAAAAAAAATTGAATTCTGTGAAAAATGTCAAATATAAGAAAAAGGCCAGAATTCTGAGGAGAAAAAATTTAAAAAGATCATAATTATGAGAAGAAAATAAAAAAAATTGGAGAAAGAAGTCAGAGTTCTGACAGAAAAAGCTACAAAATTTAGAGAGAAAAAAGCCAGAATTTAGAGTTTAAAGTCAGAATTGTGAGGAAAAAGCTTGTTACAGCAGCATTCATGCTGGATTTTGTAGGGAGTCTGAATTTTGATTTCTGTGGTCACATTCATCGCACACCTGACCGGAAAATCAACTCCTGCATCCAGAACAGAATGAAGCCAAATTCTCAGATTCTTTGATTTGTTTTCACAGATTAAAACTCCCAGACAACACAGAGGAAGTACGAACATTCACAGTGCAAATATGAAGTTCTCAGTTTGAATCGATGAATGCAGAGAGAACAGAAGGTAGTCCTAAGGGGGGAGCTTTCTGCTCAGGATTGAGGACACGACGCCCCCTCAAGCCCTGCTGTCTTTAGAAAACCAAAGCTGCAACGTGGTTGTTTTCCACCCCCTTCACTTTATTATTTTTATTTTCAAAGAAGAGCAGATACACTGCAAAACACTAAATTTTACAAAGTATTTTTGTCTAGTTTATGGGACGAATATCTTAGATTTTTCTTATTTCAAGTATACTAACTTACGAATAACTTTTCAGCAAAATAAAGGTAGGAAAGCATAAACTCATAATTTAGTTCAATTCAAAAATACTTTATTAACCCAAGAGAAATTAAATGGTTTTGCATTTTGTATGATTTTTCAAATACGTTGTTATAGATTCTAATAGCTGTAGGAAGGAAGAATATCCTGTTGCAGTAAAAATCAAACAAAAAAAAGAAATGCAAAAACAAAATATTACCAAGTATTTTTGTAGATTCTACTACAAATATCTAAGTGCACTTTAAATAAGACACAACTAACTTACAAAAACTTTTCAGTGACATTTAGGAGCTTGTTTTAAGTCAATAACTCCTTAATATTGTGTTTTTATGTAGTAGATAAAAAAGTACTAATAATATGTAGAAATATTTACTAAAACAAGCTCCTATATGCTACTGAAGTGTTATTGTAGGTTAGTTTTGTCTTATTTAAAGTGCACTAAGATATTTGCAGTAAAACTAGACTAAAAATAGTAGGCAATATTTTGTGTTTTTGCAGTTCAATCTCCGGCTTTATGCAACAAGGCGGCTCTTCTAGCAATATAAGAGGACTGAAGAGCAATTCAGCCTGGAAAAACTTCCTCCTGTAAGAGTCTGACGGTGCAGGCTTGTCGAGGATTTTAGATAACAAAGGTGCTGAAACACACACACACACACACACACACACACTGTAATTTCAACGTGGATTTAATTTAACTCAGCCACTTTTTGTCCATTATCTCTTATGCTTCCTCCGCTGGTTTATTCAGATTTATTTAATTGAGATGCAAATGTGCGCACATCCTCTGCTGTATTTTGTAGTCCTGTGAGAAGCTACATTAAAATTGCTTTAATTAGGTTCAAAGAGCTTTCATTCAGAGAGCCACTTGTGGTAACATGAGATATTCGACTGCAGGTAACACTATAGCAGGTGTTACACCAGTTTGCGTTTCTCCAGAAAAAAACGCATCAACACAGAGAATACAAGAAATTACTAAAATAGAAAGAGATAAAGTGTTTCATCAAAACAAACTACTAACGGGTCAGAACATCTGATTTAATACTATATGTATATAGATACGCACAAGTTTGATATTTCAAAGACAAAAATGACTAAAACTGCAAACAAACCACAACAAATGAAGACAAAAACACTTCCAAATTGTTAAACTAATACAAAATGTATGTGTTTTAGAACAGGGCACATAGTGTATAGGTGGGGACTGGAGTCACATGACTTGGATTGGAGTCACATGATTCTAGCCATTTAAATCAAGACTTGAGACATGACTTGGAAAAAATGCTCAAAGACTCGGACTCGACTTTGACTTTCGCACCATTGACTTTGGACTTGACATGAAGCTGTTTTACGTGAAAAGACTTGAAATTTTACTCAAAGTTTAAAACATATCATTTATAAAGTGGTGCATTGAATCATTTCACTCATTCACTCAGACCGTTCCTCTGGTTTTCCACACTCTGTATGTTTGTGTGCTTAAGTTGCAGCACAACCAATCAAATTAACAGGATTTTAAAATAAAGGGGGAAAAACGAGAGATGGAAAAACACTCAAAGCAGATGTGCTATTGTGAGTAATTTCTTTTGGGTACATCAATCATGAAAAATCCAACTGAAAACAGAGTAAAACATGCAAAACCAGGATCTCAGATGGAGATTCAACAACTTCCAACTGTTCAGCATTTGAAGTTGCACAAAGAAAGAAAGCGGTACTTTTCTTTTACTCTCAGACAACTGACCAGCTAACGTCATGTGAGCAACGCTGGGTTACATTGATACCACTTATCTTTCATTTGTCTGCTATGTTTAGTCATGCTGTATAAACCCGGTGATTCGAACGTGTCCACATTAATGTGTACCGTGTTGCTCAGGAAGCTAGTGGATAGTAGTAAAACATGTTACACTTCTAAAAATCCTGGACTTAATGGTGTGGGGTAGTTCTGAGTGTTTCTGGATGGTAATGCAGCACAATACTTTGGTTAATGATTCAGGCAGGTTTGATTCAGGCAACGTTTTTTTATCAATACTGAGATTGGCTGACTTGGACTGACAGATATTTAATTTATCATCACATCCAAATTCAAAACCACTGTGCTTCATTTGCAATGAGTCCATTGTGTGTTTGATTTTTAAAAGAACACATGGTCTACTATTTATATTTAGCATAATGGGAACATTGTTTAAAAAATTAAAAAACTGACTCGAAAGGACTTGAAATTCCAAGCTCCTGTCTTGAGACTTGACTTGAGGACAAAGACATGAGACTTGTAAAACAGTGACTTGGTCCCACCTCTGATAGTGTGTTATGTCTTTGTTGTTTGTCATTTGTGATATATTCAAAATTCTGAGGAAAAAAAAGTCAAAATTCTGAGGAAAAAAAAGTGATTTTTTTTTTCCAGTGACCATAATTATCTTCTCTAATACTCTGATAAACACAGACTTGTATAAAAATCATTGTGTGTGTTTCTGTTCCATATCTTTGTAGCATTAATTGTAGCACTTTGTGTTTTCTCCACTCACTTCCTGGCTGCCATCATGTTTCCTCTCAGCCATATGACCGTGCGGAAGGGAAACCGTTTGGGCATCTCCATCCAGGAGCACATGGCCATCAACGTCTGCCCGGGCCCCATACGCCCCATCCGTCAGATCTCTGCCTACTTCCCCCGCCTCTCGCCCACTTCCTCCTTCTCGGAGCCGCTCTCGCCCAACCAGCTGACGGCGCCGGCTCCGCTGAGCCCCGGTGGTGCGGGCCAAGGTGGAGGAGGAGCAGCGGGAGGAGACGGAGAAGGAGGAGGCGGGGCGAGCAGATGCCTTTTGTCTCCGCTGCTACCGGGAGCTGCAGGAGGAGGGTCACTATCGGCCATGAGCAGCATGGACACCTCCATCGAGATCGACAGCTGCGACAGCGACGACAACAGTGAGTCGCCTCAGAGCAACGATCAGGTCTCACTGAAGAACAGGGTTTAGGAGAACGAGGGAGTATTAGCACCCGTCTCAAGATAATAAAAAAAATTAATTACAAGAATAAAGTAATTAAATTGCAAAAATAAAGTTGCACGACAATAAAGGCGCAATAATACGAGAATAAAGTTGTTTGAGAATAACGTCGCACAAGAATAAAGTCGTAGTATTACAAGAATAAAGTCGCATAATACGAGTCAATATTTCAAGAATAAAGTTATAAAATGATAATGTGATAATGTGACTTTTATTCTTGTACGACTTCATTCTCATATTTTCTTTTGCTTTATTCTGGTCATTTTATTTAAATTTTTTTTTTTCAGTATGGTTCAAATACTCCGTTATTTCAAGTATTTGAACCATACTATATTTGGTTAGTCCCAATTTGGCTCTTTTTAATTTTCCAAATGACTCTTCACTTTTTTATCATCAGCTACCTAATGCTCTAGCTTAACAAATATAATTTTTCTGTATGCTAAAAAATCCTTTTACATTTAGTGGTTTTGGATTTGGTTGTGCAGGAGGCTCCACTTCTGCTTTTCAAAGATGTACGGTTGTATTATTGCACATCAATTTGCAGCCATTTTCATCTGAACTGAGCAGACTGAAAACTACTTGTCTAAGAATGATTTTGTGTCACACATAGATCTATCTATCCTAACATGTTCAAGGAGGCATCTTCGGTCACATTAAAAATCTGGCTCAAGTCGTAAAAAACAAAATGAAGTACACTGATGCAGATCTGGACTTGCATAAAGAGTTCAAAAGAAAATTGTGTAAACAGAAGGTTTTAGATTTCAGGAACTAGTCGATATTTATTCAATATTCCCACCGGTCTCTCTCTTTCTCGCTCGCTTTCTGTGCCATTTGCTCTTCGCCTCCTAATGAAGTCATCATCATAAAAGCAATTACCTGTATTACTGGCACACATTTCTTCTGACTTGTTGTTAACTCCCTTCCAGCCTCCCTGGGGACGTTAGAGTTTGACCTTCTGTATGAGAAAGCCACCAGCTCTTTACACTGCACAGTCCTCAGAGCAAAGGTACGGTGTCCACGTGAAAATGCTTTACCACCTCTAAACGCCGGTTGTCTTGTCAGACAGAAAGCCAGCAAAGATTATGTTTCTGTCAGCTATAATGATTATGTTAGACTTCTGAAACCAACATGAGGAAATAGTTTTAGACGCATTTGAAGTAATGTATGAGCAAAAATCTATTTAAACACTCTTACATATACAGTGAAATACTTGAGATTCCCTCTAAAAACTGTCAAAGTTGTCTAACCTAATAGTTTAAACACCAAATATACCATCAAATGCATTAATATAAAACAGCTGAAATCATCTTGGCACCACAGCAGAAACATCTGCTTATCTTCTCAGCCAATCAGCACCAAGGAAAATAAATGGGGCTCTTTGATTGGCTGCTTTGCAAGCACTAGCCACACTGCAAAAACACAAAAACTTACAAAGTATTTTTGGTCTAGTTTCTACTGCAAATATCCAAAGTAACTTGAAATAAAAAAAACAACTTATAATTAAAATTTCCTTAAAATGTAGGATTTTGTTTTCAATAATTTTCAAATATAGATAAAAAAAAAATACTAGTTCCACTGGCAGATTATTTCACTTAAAACAGATAATTTTTACCATTTTATTAGAGAAATAATCTGTCAATAAAACTTACAGTTTTTCATCAATATTAAGAAACTATTGACTTTAAACAAGTTTCTAAATTTTGCTGAAAAGTTACTTGTACTTTAGTTTTGTCTTATTTCAAGTGAACTAAGATATTTCCATGAGAATTAATTGCTTGTTTCATTGATTTGTTTGTATTTTTGTTTTGGTTTATTCAAAGAAAGTTTTTGTTGTAAATGAAATAATGTGTATAAAGGTAAAAACAAAAAAACAGACCAAAATTACTTTGGTCTGTTTTTGCAGTCCAATAGCGTGTTGTTGAATCTTAAATTTCTTCTTCCCAAGTTTACTTTCTTTTGAATATTTTAAATACACTGAAAAAACTCAAAATCTTACCAAGTATTTTTGTGGTCTAATTACTACTGTAAATTTCTTAGTGCACTTGAAATAAGAGAATACTGAATCGCAAGAAATAGAAGCTTGTTTTAAGTAAATAATTCTTGAATATTCATAAATAGAACTAGTTCTGCTGGCAGATTAATTCTTGTTCTTGTTCGCTCTATGAAACAAAACTTATGAATATTAGAATTTTCCTCACAATAATACAGCGTTATGTTCCACAGGAAAATCTGACTTCTGACCAGAATCCAATGCATAAACATGTTTTTTTTAACATCTATACAGACATTTTCTGTCACTGTAAAAGTAAAGTGAATTTGAAGAAGATAATAAGTACATATACAAAACTAATTTAATATCAAAACTATTGATATTAAACAACGATATAAATATTGTCAATGTAACAGAACCGAAACAAGAAACCTTTACTTTGACTTGATTGCGAGAAAAAAAATGACTCTTTAATATATGTGATTGAAAATCTTGTTTAAACTGCAATGTTTATTATTTTTCTTCTTCTGCAGAGATTATTCATACTAAACTTTCTCAGTTAGTATTTGTTGGCATGGTAATGTTGCACATTTTATGATTTGAAAAACTGTGATTTTGTTAAAAACAGATATTTAATGTTTTTTTCAAGTAAAGTCGTTTTGTATCAAGCATTGTGAATGCTTTAAATTGGACATCTTCATCTTTAGGGTGCAGACTTAACATTGAGCTTCTTATTTTCACCCTTCACACTCAGACTAACAATCAATCAAAGCTTAACTTAAAACATTTTCCAGACGAAACCCAGATTCACCTTCACATCTCATTTTGTGGTTTTTGTGTTCTATATTTTCTCTGCAAGGGTTTGAAGCCGATGGATTTCAACGGTTTGGCCGATCCCTACGTCAAGCTGCATCTGCTGCCAGGAGCCTGCAAGGTTGGATTTTATTACAAGTGCTTTTTTTATTTCTCACTGTTTTGCTGTGAAATTGAAAGAGACCTTCAGGTTCCTGTCTGCAGGAAGATTGGAGGACACTCTTCAATTATGGTCTCATTATAGAATTGTGTGACAAAAATGTGGATGAATACATGAGCAGCAATAGAAGGAACTTGGGATTTATTTTTCTGCTGTTTGCACGTCGTATTGAAGCTTGCAGTGATATTTACTTCGTTCTCCCCGTGGTGCCAACAGGCGAATAAACTGAAAACGAAGATTGTTCGAAACACACTCAACCCCGTGTGGAACGAGACGCTCACCTACTGTGGCATCACCGAGGAAGACATGTACCGCAAAACTCTCAGGTAGTCTCTGCTGTTCACTGGCCTGGGTAGCAACTAGTCACATTTACTTCAGTAACTTTAGGAAAAAATATGTTTTAGGACCATTTTTGCTTTAACTTGAGTAATTTTGTTATTGGGTATCTCTACTCTTACTTGAGTAAAATTTCTGGATACTAAATAATGAGTAACTTCATTATTTGAATATTAAACTCAACCCAAAAATCACCAGACAAAAAGACACACCCGATGTTTTACATAAAAATAATTTAATTTCTTTCTATAAAAATGTCTCTTTTTCCAGATTTTGTAATTGTGTTATGTATATTATTTTCACTTTGCTCCTTAAAGCAGACAAAACTCTTGTCTTTCACAGAATTTTATGCAAAAGTCAACATTTTGTACATTTTTGTTCTTCCATTTTGGTCTCTATTGCTTCAAAAAAAAAAAAAACAAAAAAAAAAACAAAAAAAAAAAAAAACAAGCGCTTTACAAAAAACACCCAGCCATTTTGTTTGCCAGTAAATTTATGTTTTTTGGTGTCTGGAAAATGAACCGTTGGAAAAACGTCTGGAATGTACCATCACAAATCCGTTACCTAGCAACCCCAGCCAAGGCCAGCCCGTTACCTAGCAACCCCAGCCAAGGCCAGCCCGTTACCTAGCAACCCCAGCCAAGGCCAGCCCCGTTACCTAGCAACCCCAGCCAAGGCCAGCCCCGTTACCTAGCAACCCCAGCCAAGGCCAGCCCCGTTACCTAGCAACCCAGCCAAGGCCAGCCTGTTACCTAGCAACCCAAGTTGAGTTCTGTACAGTTTGCTCCCGGAAAAGACGAGATTTGTTGTTCAGCTACACTGCAAAAATACAAAATCTTACCAATACGTCGAGTTTCAAGAGCAAATGTCTAGGTACATTTGGAATAAGACAAAACTAACTTACAAGTAACTTTACTTGTGAGTTACTTGTTTTAAATAAATAAAACAAGTAACAGCTTGTTTTAAGTAAATAATTCTTGAATATTGATTTTCTTTTTTAAGTATTAGCTGGATTAGCAGATTATTCATTTATAACTTCTTGGGAAAAATTTCATCTTATAAGTCTAAAAATCTTCCAATGGAACAGTGCTGTTTTTAATCAATATTCAAGAATTATTGACCCAGGAGGCTCCACTTGTGCTTTTCAAAGTCATACAGTTATATAATAACATTGAGTTGGAGCGTGGCTAGCAGCAGCTTCTTTAGATTTAAAGTGACAGAGGCCATAAAACAGCTCATAAGCAAAACAGATCAAACTGAAGTCTCATTATTGAAGAACGATTGAACCTGTTCAAAAAAACAAAATATGTCACCTTTTAACATAAAACTTATGGGTTTATATTTTGGTCAGCCTGATATATTTTTGACTTTTTTGATCCATTACTTGAGTTGCATTTTTACCAAACAATTATTTACTTGTAATTTCTTGGACGGCTACATTTTACTTTTATTTGAGAACATATACATTGAAGTGCTGCTGCTCTTACTCGAGTAATTTCTAGCTAGCTGTGGTTATTTCTGCCCTTCTGTTCCTCATCTGACTCATACGTACAAAAGATTTCTTATCGTCCGTCTCAATCGCTAAGTCCTTTCCTATCAGCTTGAGGGACGTCCAGTAGTTCTCGACGCCCCCTCTCTGTCTCCATTGAGGCTGTTTCATGTTGTCTCACCTCAGTCTCGTCCCTGCCTATCCAAACATCTTTCCTGTCCCCTGAGATCAGAGAAGATCTCCACCTCTCTTTGTCGCTCCTTCCATCTGCCTCTTTGCTTTCTCGTTTTCAAAGTTGCAGTGACAGATTGAGGTCAGGCCGCGCACCGCGGGGTGTTTTAATCTCATTGACCCCCCCTCTGGAGGTGACGAAAGCTGCGAATTGTTTCTGTCTGTGACTGAAACTTTGCCGTGGTCCACATGAGAGCCGGATCTGAGCAGGACGGACAGATTAGCTCTCGGGGGTGATTAGAGGAACCAGTCCTGCTGCCGACCCGCGGCACCAGCACGTAAATATCAGGAGTTTGACTCATTCGGGTTCACAACCTGCTGCAGGTCAATACCACCTGCATGAAAAGGTGTCTCTGTTTTCTAGCTAAGGCTGAAACAATTAATCATGTTTAATCAATTATTTGAATAATTTAGTAATTGATTAAGAATTAACGTTTTAGCTTCAAATTCAGTAAAACTCCTGTTAAGCACCTTTTGCTTTCCGATTATGAAACAGCTCAGCTCTACACTGTGTTGCTATAAAATCAAGCAGAAATGCCTTAAATTTTCATATGTTAATGTCACATGTGATTCATAAAATGCTCTATATTATATTATATTTCTCCAGTCCACCCAAACATTTGAGATTTTTCAGTGAAAACTGCACAGAAAGGATTTCCCAGTTCAGACCAGTTTGAAATAAATTACAGAGATCATCTGTTGTTGTCTGTGAGGATTTCCCTGCATGAATCTGGGTCAGTGTGCTGCTTCAGTTCATGGCCACTGTGACTTCTGTGAAAATGTCACAGTGAATGTTAAATGTCAAAGGAAAGATGGGTCATACAACAAAAAGATTACTGAATATGCGTGTGGCTCCAACCTGGAGGGAATAAACACCCGAGTCCAAGTCTTAATCTCAACACAACAGGCAAAAAAAGAAAGGCTTACGAGCACAATGCTGCGAAAACGTTACATTAAATACTTTTTGAAGCATCATCTTTCTGTTTCTGGGACTGAAGCCGCCCACGAATTGTTGAAATCCATAAAGAGTCCATGTAAAATTGATTATTACTGCCTGTTTAAATGGTTCAAACAGCAAATATACCTTGAAATGCATTAATACAAAATAAGATAAAACTAACTTACAAGTAACTTTTCAGCAAGATACAGACCCTTGTTTTGAGTAAACAATTCCTTAACATGGATGGAAAAGTGCTACTTCTACTGGCAGATTTTTCTTTTGTAACATTGGGAAAACATTTTGGTATAAGTAAAATAAAAAATGGTTTAATTAGTTGTTGCTGTTGGCACAATGTATTGTGGGATACCTTGCTGGTCACTGTCAGATTACTTTGAGTTAACTTATAGAGGGTCTTAACTTATTTAAATTCATTGTTTATTAAAATGTAAAAACTGAGTAGAATTAGTAAAAAGTTCAACTTAATTTATTAGATTAAAGTCAACTTTAATTTCAACTTTAATTTTAGTAAAATCAATCTGAAGTCCAGTAAAAAAAAATTTTAAAAATCACTGGACTTTAGTTTGATTGGTGGCAAAATCTTGACTAAAGTTATATTTTCTCATAAAGATTTATTTTGTAGATTGTTAACATCATGCTGAGATGATGCAGTAAATATAAGCTGTCAGAAAATGTTTTCATTGCAGGTGAACATGTGAGCCCATCCCCCGCTCTTGACCTTTGACACCATTACTCAATACTCCATCTCCCAGCTCTGTCCTGATTTTCTCCAGATGACTCAATCCATCTTTGTTCTCGTCTGCTCCTCACACCCTCATTTATTTATTTGCTTCCATTTCTGTTTCTCCCTGCAGTTTGATATTAAATGTATGATTTTTCTTCTCTTCTGTGAATTATCCGACTAGAGGTTTTCTCCAGAGATCTTGTTTTGCACATATGTTGAACTTTCTGCAATGGTTTTGTTTCATAACCAGAAACTAGAAGATCGAAGGTGTGACTGGATCGTTTCTGTGATGGAAGGACAGATTTTTATAAATAAAGATATGAAACTTGGTGATCTTAGGTTCAGATGTACATTTAAATTAATTCTTGTGTCTTTGACCTTTCTTTCTCAGCCACGTCTCTCCACTGCCTCTCAATCTCACATCCACAACCTGTTTCCACCTCCTTCACTCCTCAGTATTATTGCTGAATTTATGGCATAAATATTCAACCTCTTGTGATGCACTTTCACACTGTTCGAATCCCCACTGAAAGAAACGTGGCAATTATCTCCAAAAATATGCAAACACATGCACCGCCTTGGAGGAGCAGTCGTCATTTTGTCACGTTGTAATCACAGTTTTTTATTTCTTTATTGGGATTTTTTGTGAAGTGTTATGTAATCATGAAATGTGAAGTAAAAGATACATGGCCGTCACTTACACCTAAAAATCAGGAGTCTTCAGACTGCAAGTGGGCCCTCAGTGGCTCTTACAGGTGATCTGTTATGCTTCCTAGAACAGATTAGACTTGAACAAAACATGTGTTTTTACTTTTTTTTTTTGACAAAGTCTTTCTCAGATCAGGAGATTTTAAGGGGTTTCTGGATGATAAGTCAACAACATAACACTTGTCTTTTCCAGCAGCCATTTTACGCCGCATACAGCAGGAAAACCGGCTGGCCAAAAGTGCTGGAACTCTGCTTGGGTTGCTAGGCAACGGGCTGAGCTTAGCCTGGGTTGCTAGGTAACGGCTGGATTCCACTGGGGTTACTAGGAGTCAATGTCTGCGGATTTGTGACGTTACATTACCGAGGTGTTTGAAACGGGAACATTTTTCAGACACCAAAACACTTGAAAATATTGACAAAAACTGTCTGGGTGACTATTTTAAACGTTTGTCCTGTTTTTAAAAGAAGCTGAAACCCAAATGGAAGAATAAAAAGGAGCAAAATGCAAGTTTTGCATAATATGTCCCTGTTAATCGCTGGCTTGAAATTAAAAGGAACCAATTAATGTTTTTAAATACAACTTCATTAACAATTTATTTTACTTTGAGAGATGAGAAATGTTCTCATTTTTCTAGAAAATTTGTGAGTTCCTTCTACCAAATTTTTGACTTTTGAAATGCAGAAATTTTCTGATTGTTTCTAGAATATTTCTGAGATTACTGGAAGTTTCTGAGTTTTCTACCAAGTTTTCAACTTTTGGAGCTCAGAAATTTTCCAGAAAAACGTGAAAATTTCTGAGATTAACCTCATAACTTCTGAGTTTTTTGGCTGAAATTTACTCCCTTTTTTAAAAAAAAAACAAACAAACATAAAATGCCATTTTAGAATTGAGCATCCAGAAAGTCCGCATCTAAATCCAGTCGACATCATTATTTGGAAATTGATAGATTCTCTCCATTCATAAAGTTTCGTCTTACTGATGCGTTAATCTGTGTTAGCAGATGCAATTACGTCCGAATACATTAATTTTGAAACTGTAATTTTCTTTTAACTGTAATTTGATTAAATCCCCAAAGCTTCACTTTGAGATTCCTGACAGCTTCCTTTCTAATTCAGGTCAGGCTTTCATCACTGATTTCATTCCCTTCTTATATCTCTGTCGTGACTTTAAAAGCTGTCATAAGATGTTGCTTGTTTGACTACTTTACTCCACACACACACACACACACACACACACACACACACACACACACACACACACACACACACACACACACACACACACACACACACACACACACACACACACACAACACACACACAAACACACACACACACACACACAGAAAACCACCCTTGATTGGTCTCCTTTCAGATCTCTACCTCTGACTCATTACCCAGCTATGCTCTTATATTTTATTCATGCTTTGCTCACCATTTGTCACTGTCCCTTCTCCCGCCGGCTCTGCCTCTGTCTCCCAGGGTGTCCGTTTGTGACGAAGACAAGCTGACACATAACGAGTTCATCGGGGAGTCGAGGGTGGCCCTGCGCCGCGTGAAGCCTGACCAGACCAAACACTTCAACATCTGTCTGGAGCATCCGCCTCCTGTGAGGAAGAGAGGGAGTAAAACAGGAGGATAAGGAGGAGGAAAATGGGGAAATAAATGTGTAGGGGGGAGAAATGAGTGCAGGGACGTGTGGCGGTCAGTGTGCTAATGCTTCCTACGTGACTCTGAGTGAACATGGACTGTCGAGGGGAGTGGAAATCCAAACCAGGAGAGGGTCAGTCAAAACATTGACGTTTATCTGGGTCCCAATATTTAAGTGTTTTCTGAACAAATATTCCCAGCAGCCGTCCTGAACGTTTTTTCATGTTAGATCCTATTTGCTTGCTTTCTTTTCAAAACAAAGAAATGACTTTTATTTTATTTCAATCACCCGTTTTATTAGTTGTACATGATGAGAATCTATTAGCAGAGAAACGATGCAATTTTACCTGAAAAAAAAAAACGTCTTAGAATTATGTTTTAATTATCTCTACAACTTGGATCAACATGTATAAGATGCTCAATATTTTTATTTAATTTTCTGTTATTTTTAATGTCGGAGTGACTTCATTTTTGTAATATTAGGACTTTTTTCTAGAAATATTTTGACTTTTTTTCTCTGATTATTTTGACTTTATTCTTGAATTGTTATGACTTTATTCTGATCATTTCAACTTTTTTGGCATAGGACTGTTTTCTTGTAATATTGCGACTTTTCATTCTTGTATTATTTTGACTTTATTGTTGTTATAGCTTTATATTTTTTTTTTTTTTTTTTTTTTTTAGACTTTATTGTTGTACTACTGTTTCCTTGTAGTCTGACCTTAATATTTAGTCGTAGAGTTGATTTGAATTCAAAGTCTAAAAAAAGAGAGAAGCTGTAAAACTTAAACAAAATGGCGGCTTTGGACGCTAATATCACTCTTAACAATGGAAACCCAAGGAATACACGTGTGGTAAAAACGACAGTTTTTTCCAAAAATGTAATCTTAAAAGAACAAAAATTAGATTAATTGATAAGCAGCCACTCAGTCTGGTAACGAGCCGCTGCTGCAGGAGGGATGCCTCTGAAAACTGCAGGACCGGACTCCCAGGCGCCTCTTCGATCCTCCGTTTTACGTGTCAAAAACACACAGAGGCTAAAATAATTACTTATGGGACTTTGGTCACAGAACGTTCCCCAAAGCTGTGACTGAAGAAGGGGTTATAATTAGCTTTAAGTCAGCCAACTAAACTGGCTACTCATGTTCCAACCTGAATCATTTTATTTCTTACAAATTAAACAGTGAACAGTAATAATGAGACATTCTTTAATAGAATTATAAAATATTAAGTAACTTATGGAAAATCTGTTTTGCCATAAAGAAAAACAGAAAAGGTCAACAGGAAGTCATAATTAGAGACTTTCAAATTCATAATTATGACTACCTGTTGAACTTTTATTTTTTCTTTCATGGCAGAAATGGACTTCCATAGGTAAATAGTTACATTTACTTGAGAAACATTTAGAACAAATTTAACCAAACTTTCTGTCATCATGGCTCAAAGCATATGTGAAACTTTAACACAAATTTTATAAATGAGGAAGAAAGTTTCAATTAATTTGAACTAAAACAACAGTAAAGACGTTTTATAGGACAGCTGAGCCACTCCACTTCTTTTTATATATATGCACTGCAAATAGAGCTAAACAACCACAAAAAGCAGCAGATGTTTTTTCCTATTTGTTTGAGTTGGTAATACTGACCCACTGACATGGTTTGTGCCTCCCTCAAAATTACAGAGAGAATTTGTCTCCTCCTATGGAGGACAAATAGCTTTGTGTGCAGGCTAAATGTCAGCAAGGTCACGTGTGCGAAACGATTGCTGCGAGATCAGAAAAATGAAAGGTGAGGAGGAAGAGCGAGAGGCGAGGAGGGGTCGTCAGAGACTCGGTGGAGATGAGAAACAAGTGGATTAAAAAATGAAAGGCGGCGCAGGGGGGCTGCTGTGTGAAACGAAGTGGGATGGAGCCGCAGTTTTGTTCTTCATGTGGTATTAGATTATCCTCTGAGGCCGGCGGCCACTCTGCCATCAAACAGAAAAGCCCTTCTGTCATCTGCGAGCCAGACGCTGCTGCTTCAGCCTCTAACTCTTAAAAGCAGCTTCGCCTCCGGACTGATAGATCCGTCCCTGTCTCCTCATCCTTCTGCCGCACCGCCGTCACTCATCCCCTCCTAACATTTATTCACTTCTCTTGCTTTCTGCCCCCAGCTGCCGTCGCCGACAGCGATGAGCACGGCCCTGAGAGGAATCTCCTGCTACCTCAGAGAGGTGAAACATTTGTATCATCCTCTGTTTGTTTGTCTAAATTAAAGGTCCGAAACGATTAATCGTGATTAATCAATTCTTCAAATAGTTGTCAGCTGATGTAGTTATAGATTAATTGTTAACTGGAGTATATAGGCTTGAAAGAACAACCTACTTAGAGCAGTAGTTAAGCCAAAAGCATACAAAAAATATACACATTTTGTTTTTAGGATAAAAGAAACTTTGACTGTACAGACGTTCTACTCAGGATTCCTCAGGTAGCAGTTTCAGCTTCATTTTACGGAAAAAAACAAGTGTTTTGATTTCACAAGATTAAAATCAGAATTCTGAGAGAAAAATGAGGAATTCTGAGATTAGAGTCATAATTCTGAGAAAATTCATTATTTTTAGATTAAAGTCCGAATTCTGAGGGGAAAAAAAATCGGAGAAATTCTCAACTTTGGATTGAATTCAGCTATGGATTGAGCTGAATGACAATTGGAGTCATAATTGGATGATTTAGATCTAAGTCTGTTAATGTGTTAGAAAGGTCTAGTCAAAGTCCAGAAACAAAGCTAATGGATAATACATGGTAAGAATTCAAGGTGAATTAACTTGAGCTATTTACAAAGAAAAAATAGCACAAATTTAAGTGTATGGATGTGCAGATGTGAAGGAATAACTGAATCATTCAATGTTGCTCTACTTGGTGTTAGTCTGTTGATTCTGGTTATAAAAACACAAATTGTAAATTCACTGGGTATTAATTAGGACTGTTGTAAACTATTATTTTAGTAAGCGAGTAATTTATCGATTATTCTTACCATTAATCGAGTAATCAAATAAAAAAGAAGATAAGATAAAATATTGGTAAATCTAACATAACAGCAGTATTACTATTGGATATCAACAACAGTCCAATTTTTCACATTTGAGCCAACAATAACTTTTGCATAATTTAGAAAATTAACCTGTAACAATAATATCTCACTTTCTAAGTTAACCTGGAGAAAAGTTGTATAAAAATCTGAAATTACATTCAATGTAATAAAAAAGAGGCAGACTCATAAATACGCTAACAAAAAATGTCTACACTGAAGCTTTTGGTTTATGTTTTCATCTTCAGTGAGTCTAACAAATAAACTCTTACTTTACCCAAACATTTATAATTTTTGTGTTCATGTTAGCGATGGGATTTGACACCTTCGTCCGTCTCACACACATTAACATCTACCAGCTACGTGCCGCCACGACATTCATTTGTTGAGACCGGAATGATATGAAATACATTTTCTGGTTCATCCATAAAGCTACACTTACATTAATCATCTATTGCGCAGCTGCCCGCAGCTGTTCAGTCTGTCCGCTCACTTGTGTAAATACACCTGCAGCGCTCTAGGAGAAAAAACTACCGTACTCCAGCCATCGTGCCAGTCATTTTAAGGATGCTTATTGGTCCCCTGAAAAACGACAAAGACCCAGACATTTTTACGAATCAATAAAATCCTCCCAAGCTGAACTTGAAAATTTAACATTATGCTGCTAACATTTAGCTTTCGTCAACAACCAGGCCAGAACACAGTGTGCAAAATAATAAAACATAAATTAACAAAGCTTCAAGGCATATCAATTTTCCTCAAGGAATTTTAATAATCGAGGTACTCGAATCACTCAAGCAATCGTTTCAGCCCTAGTATTAGTATTTTTCTTAAGCACTGTCCTCAGTACCTTCAACCATGGCAACTGCAGAAAAACTTTAAAACTCAACAAGCATAGTTAATGATGAAGACACTAACTTTGCAAGAAAAGTTTTTTCAAGTGTTTGTGGGTTGTCAGTTGCTGATTTTGTTTAAGTTGATGTTGCTACTGATGGATGTTCCCAAGTAAACAGTTCACTTTTGAAATCAGATCCACATTTATTTAATGTCTCATAAAATTAGCAAAAGTGTCACGAATGCAGTTGGTTTGTTGCTGCTTTAAAAGGTTGAGTCCCTTTTAAAGCAGCAATGAAAATAAACAGCCCCGTGGGTAATCCAGCAGCAGCACAAAGATGTCAAAACAAACCAAGCATGAGGCTTTAGGAGGCGCGAGCCAGCAGTGAGTTCCAGCTACAGTCACAACGACTGCTGAAGGAGGAGAATGTCTTCCAGCAAAACTGTTTGGACTCAAACTCTGAATCACATTCAGATTTTCTTTACCATTTTACAGATTATGCAAGAGAAACCAGACACTGTACAAAAAGATTTGTTAATGTTAGCATTTTGGCTAACCTTAAGATTTTAGCTAAAATGTTTGCATACTGAAGGGAGTAAGTGTTATAGTACATGTGAGTGGTAGCCCAAATGCGAAAGGTGGAATTTATGCCAACATTAGCATTTTAGCTCGTTTTGATATAAGAGCTCAATTTAACATAATGAATGGAGTAAACCAATGTTAGTCATTGAGTACTAATATTAAGGACTCTCCCTATGCAAGTCATAGTCCTCTTGCTACTCATGGCTTTTTGGCTCAAATGTTTGCATTTGTGTTAGCCAAAAGTGGCTAAGATTAAGCTCCTGAAAGAGCAGGAACCTCTGATCAATTGCAGCTCTGTGGGATAATCTGGTCTGTGGAAGAAAACCAACATTTTGAACAGATGGATTGGGTCAAGGGAGTAAAACTGTGACACATTTTGGAGTTTTTACAGAACAACGAAGCCATTCTGACATCGAAACTTGTCTTAGAATGAGCATGGAAGGGTAACAGTTTGCCTTTTAAGCTATGCCTGTAGCAGGGAACCAATAAGATTAAATAAAATATCATTTTTGTGAAGAGTAGTACTTAAATATTCATCCAGAATTATAGAACCAGCTTCTTGGTAGCTACAAAAAAAGCCTGTGGTCAAGGTGCAACTTGTTAAGTGACATTAAACCATATATTAATGGGTGTGTATGTGCATATTTAAGCCTCTTTGCATAATTTTGACCAATTTGTATAACTAGCTCCTGAAGAACAGTTTATATGCTTTAATAAAAGCCCAAAATGATGGTAGATGGCAAGGGCGTAAATCCAATCTCATTATTGGAGGGGTCCATAAACAGGAAAATTTCTAAAGACCAATTTTGGGGGGGGTCGGCAAAGTTACAGTGAAATGTAACGTAAAATCATTTTAAACCATATTCAAGTTGCAAGACCAAAAATGACTAGTAATGCATATTAAACGTGCTTTTCTAAGTAAGCAAACTGTTAAAACTAAAAATCAAATGTTGCTTCTACATGAGTTTTGTTCAGTCTCACTGATCTAATCTCTGCTTTACAAAAATTTAAGGTTCAAAATAAAAAAGCTTTAAAGAATAACTGCTCTTAATAAAATTTCTCAAACATTGATCTATTAAAATGGCTCCCAATACAAGTTATGGACTATATAAATAACTTAAGTAGCTTTATTTTTAAGCCTTTTTTAGTTTTTCTGGGGTTTATATAGAAAAATATTCAGATTTTATTTTGTGGTTTTAAAGTCTATGTTGAAAACAGTGAGAAATAACATTGTTTTAACAATGTCAGGGGAGGACCGAAAAGTTCATTCTTATTTTTTCTGAGATAAATGGCAGATTTAGTTCGTTCTTTGTTTCTTTAGCATTTTCAAATTGATATTATTTAAATGCAAATGTTTCTTCAATGATTTTTTTGTGGAGAACAATTCTAGACTTTTCCAAGATTGTGGGGGCCCCGACCTCCACGAACCCCCCTGGGATTTACGCCTATGGTAGATGGTATAAAGAAGACTATTTTTCTTTACTTTGCCTCAAATGATCATTGTTTCCAGACACATCAGAGAAAAAACTGATATATTGAACCCTGCAGCTCCAAATGAGACAAAATAAATTGAGAAACTGTTTAGTGAAAAGCTGGAGTGAAGGTTTGGCCTCAGAAGCTGAACAAAGCTCTGTATTGGTGGACTGGAACAGGTTCATTAGCAGGATTGTACCTTTAGGTTTAGCTTTAGGTGAAGATGAAATTATAGAATCAAGCTTCATCTAAATTAGAATATCTGATGCAAACTCAACTAATGAGCCAGTGAAATCTTTTGTTAGGATTTAATAACTGAACCTAAAATGGCACTGTGAAGTCCCGTCAGCCTCATTAATCAGACTCCAGATAAATTTTACATCTTCTCCCAGATTCAAGGTTACTTCATTTGTCTGCTAAGACTCATGTTGTTGCACCCAACAAATCCTCCCTCCTTCCTGTTCATTTCTCACTGTTTTCAGCTGGCTCCGTTTGTTTTCCCCCCCGCCTAATGAGTCGCTCTCTATCGATCTGTGAAGGTCTGCGCTGTTGTTCTACCAGCTACCTGGTGCAAGTCATCCTCTCTAATTGCGAGTTTCTAAAGCTCGCAACTCACCCAAGAGTTGACAGATGGCGGACAGACCGCTGGCAGCAGCGGCGGCTCCCTCGGAAAGAAAGAGGGAAGGGATTATGATGAGGGAAGTGGAGGGCTGTGGGGACGCGGACAGACGTGTTGCATATTGATCGACCGCCTCATCTCTTACAGATAACACTTAATGAGAGATTTAGAGATACAAAACAAAGACTGATGTAATACATACTGGTAGTTCTCATGTGAGATCACATGTCTGTAAACTTTTCAACTGACAGCCATCTTGGGAGGCAGTTGTGATAACAATAAACAAGCCACAAGATTAGAACTAGCTCTCGCCTCGTTCCTATCCAAGTTATAAACAATATAAGTGCATCACAATTAGTACTCGATCACAATTTTTGCATCCTTCACAATTCTTTGTATTGACTAGGTAGGAAATTATATTGTAGTATGAAATCATAGGCAGCTTGTCCACGTCATCTGACTTATTTTCCATTCTCTGTCTCATACAGGCCAATTTTAACAGCAGCCACTTTGTTCATGTATCTTCCCCTCAGACATTGGTTAAGTCTTTTCACATATTTTATTTTTGTTGGTCCTGAAGCCATGGGTTTGCTTGCTTGCACGGATCTCTTCCAGTTCAGACTTGTGGGGAAGTCGAAACTATGTATTAGGGCTGGACGTTGTAGCTGAAAACCTTAGCATGATATCAGTTGGTGTCAATTATCGATTCGTTTTCTGTTTAAATATCTGAAATACTACCAAACTAGTGGCCTGACCTTTCCTGTTATATCCAGTTTTCACTCCACACCGCTGTTTTAAAATTATGAGGCAAAGTGGCGAAACTTTAGACCGCAGCTGCAGTTACTCAACAGGTCGTTCCTAAGTAACCAAAGAGCGAGTGAGTTAAGTTCATATCCAGTGAATTTGCTACATATTGAATATTTAATCAGACATATTATCCACTGATATTGAACATGTGTTTATATATATTGTTACTGATTTAATGTTCAGCTCTATTTGTAATATCACCAAAGAACAAGCAGAGAGCAGGTAAAAATCGTCCACTGGCAGCGATTCAAAACATGCATCTCTTCTATAAATAACGTACATACATGTAAGCTGTAGGCTGTGGTTGGGTGAGTCATGGACCCTAGAGAACATCTTCTCTCTTTCTCTTTTTCTGCCTCTTTCTTTTATGTGTCACTTTGAATCTGCCCTTTCGGTCCACGTGTTTTCTGATGACGCTTTGGCAACAGTTCGCCATTACTTAAGAGAAAAATCCTGAAGCCGATTGGTAATTGTGCTTAATGTTGTTCTTAGTGATCTGTTGAAGTAATTTGCACTTTAGAATGAAAGTTAAAAACTAGAGATCTGAAAAACATAATTATTGTTGACCAAGATTGCTAGCTAAAGCTAAAATAGCAAAAACCGAAATAGAGAAAACATTTTCATTAACTGAAAAAAATAAAAACGGTAATTAATAAGGAAAACTATAACTAACTGGAATTACATTATGCGTTTATGAAACTAACTGAAATGTACCGGAATTATATATGCAATATCCTTCGTAATATCCCAGTAATTTATTTTTCAGATTTACACACTGATGTGAATTTTTTTTTTTTTTTTTTTTTTTTTTTTTATCCCCAAACAAACAGTTTATGTCAAATGCTGGCAAACTATGGCACTCCATAATCTTCCTGGTGGCAATTACACTCACAAAATGACAACAGCAAAATTTGGGGAAAATGCCAGTCAGTTGGTGGTTCAACAATGATCGATTGGTATCAAATGTTGAGTATTCATTAACCAATCAATGTGTTTAGATACAATCACTATATAATTATTTGACCTTTTTGAATTTTGCACCAAATATTTCACCAAACTATGAATTACTATAACTAATAACATTTAATTAATAACTGATATGAAACAGCAAACACGTTAAAGCTTTCTGAATTAGACAAACAAAAAGTCATAAAACTAAAATTAAAAACCCAAACCTGTTATATGCCTGTTAATTTCATATAGATATGCCACAGACTTTATGAAGTCTACAAAATCTAAAAAATTTAAAACTTATTTGTTTCTAACAAACAAAAATGCCATATGATGTAAATTATAGTTGGGTAGTTACTAGTTACATTTACCAAATTACTTTAATAACTGTTTTTTAAAAAATTACTTTCAGGAGTAATTTGACTCCATTGTAATTCTTACTTTTACTTGAGTATTTTTATTATGAAGTATCTCTACTCTTACTTGAGTACATTTTTGCGTACTCTGCTCACCGCTGATCCGAACACAAAAGTTGCTTTGCATGCTGAGTATTTACATAAACACGAGTCGCTCTGTCCGTGTGCAGCACACAGATCTCGTCCTTTCCTGTCCTTCAGTGGGAGATGGAGCAGCAGAGAAGTCTGGAGGAAAGGGGCCGTTTGCTGCTTTGCCTCCAGTTCCTGCCCCCAAACGGTGACGGCGACTTGAAGGGCGAGGCGAAGGAGAGAGCTCGAGGTGGGCTCTGCGTGGGCGTCAAGCGCTGCGCCCACCTGGCAGCCATGGACGTCAACGGTTTCTCCGACCCCTACGTCAAAACGTGAGCTAAAACTCAGACTGAAACTGTGTTACTGACACTGGATTTTTATTCTCTACATCACGTGTGTTAAATTCGAGGCCCGGGGGCTGAATTCGGCCTGCCTTAGCTTTTTATGTTGTCCTCTAGGCTCCAGAGGGGGACATATTGTTTTCTACCAAACCACCTGGATCAAAGCAAATTTATCTGTATGCTGCCAAATTACTTCAATCAATCCCTCCAGTTTTGCAAATTTAGCTAAATGGACAAATGCTCACATTTTTTGTGCTGATGCATAAGTGTGATTGAAGTGTCTTATTCACAAAATAAAAACAATAAAATTAAGGGAATAAAGTTGTACAAGAATAAAGTCAAGTTGGCACGTGAATATAATATATAATTGTAATATTACGACTTCATTCTCGTACAACTTCTCATAATATTTCAACTTTATTATGTTAATACTATAACTTTATTCTCATATTAACAATTTTATTCTTGAAATCTTAGGAAATTGTCATCACTTCATTCTGACATTATTTCAAGTTTATTATCACAACTTTATTCTCGTAATAGTATGACTTTTTTCTAATGGTATTATAACTTTGTCATATTATTTAAACTTTATTCTTGTATGACTTTATTCTCATAATTTAATTTTTTTATTTCTTTCTTATTTTTGTCCTTAATACTCAGTTGTACAGAGTTTATTGCAGATTCTCTGCAAAAACTATAAAACAACAACTTTAAGTGATGCCAACTCCCACCTACAGGAGGCAGTGTTTCTTACTTCTACTCTGCTTCCTCAGTCTTACTTGACCTCAAGTTCTAATGCATAATCAATGCGGCGAGTAACAAAAAGTCACATTTATTGTCAATAATTCAAAATTAGCACCACAAAATATTAGATTTTTATTACAAAAAAATCAAAAATAATTGTGAGATCCTGGAGGAACTGAAAAAATATAAATATGTTCAAATATTCAACATTATTTAATTTTAAGAAGTACTTATTGAGTTGTTTATTAATGGGATTTATCAATACATTCTGGCATAACTGGTTTCTGGTTAAACTATGCGAGTTTTTAATTTTTATTCCTTCTCAGTTCACCGTTGTGACGAGCCGTTGCCTGGAATGAACCCAAAATCCGTTTTGTCCCAGTCAGTCATCTGGCTCACCATTTGGCATTTGTCAGGTCTTTGCACTTGCCCAACTCCCCTGCGCTCAACATGTTCACGAACTGACTGCTTAATGTCTCATATCCCCGGCTGCTACTGGTGGATGAAAACAAATCTGAACATTAATTCTTTCTGGTTTTAATAAAACCACCTGGATCTAGATGTTTCCATGGTAGCTGTTTATATAAATGAATCTAAATCAGGTTGGTGGCCTTTAGCAGCCTCTGTATTTACAGTTACACCTCAAACTAACTACAGCAACGTATTTTTATTGGGAAAAAATGCAAAATGTCAGTTGTTTGCAATCAATAAATCAAACAAGACCTATTTAAATAAAACTAATAGAACAAGTGTTTTTTCCAAATTTAAAGGTAACCAGTTATTCAAAGTTTACATTTAGCATGTTTCTGAACTTCCATTTGAGTCTCAGTTGCTTCTAAAAACACTCAGCAATTTTTTGGGCAATAAGTCAATGCCTATTTTATGTCTGGAAAATGAGTCGCTTCAAAAACTTCCTGATTGTTAAGCTACATTCCACAGGCACTGCACCGTTACCTGGCAACCCCAGTGGCGTTCCGCCCATTACTTAGCAACCCAAGAACGTTTAGTCAGCTAGTTTTTACGGCTGTATGTGCTTCACAATGGCTGCTGGAAAAGAAAAGCGTTTTGTTGTTTAACCATCCAGAGACCACTTTCTGATTTCTTTTCGATTGTGCAGGAGGCTCTACTAATGCTTTTTAAGGATGTAGTTGCATAATTGCACATCTGTGTCCAGGCATTTTCACCTGCAAGTTTAAAATGACAAGACACACAAAAACAAAATCTCATTATGTAAGAATGATCTTGTGTAAAGAATGTTACTGACATGTTTTGTTTAGTTCATAGATCTTTTGTTGGAAGTATGAAAACGTGCAAAATGTCAAATTTGAAATAAGATCCCCTTGAATCTGGAAAACTAAAATCACATTGCATGGGTACAATGTTTTTAATTGAAAATCTGTCATTGGAACTGTGGCTTTTCATCAATATTAAAGAAATATTGACTTAAAATAAGCTCCTATATATTTCTGAAAAGTTGCTTGTGAGTTAGTTTTGTCTTATTTCCAGTTTACTAGAAAGTACACCAAAAGATATTTGGGTTTTTTACAGTGTAGAGACTTTAATTCAGGTAAAATTATGCTATTAGCCAGAGTTATTCATTGAAAGTCGGATTTAAATGTCTTAATAATATTTAATCAAACTGTCTCACCTCTTCTTGTGTAATTTGTCTGTTCAGGTGAATGAATAGTTTTAGTTACACTACGCTGTATAATCGACGTTGTATGTCCAGTTTTTGTGGTGCTGAAACCAAATTATTTTGCCCGTCTGGAGTTTTAGGTGTTGCATACCAGATGTCCAGCATAGATTGATGCTGTTCACACCTATTTCAGAATGAACTCTCCAGCCTGCTCGGTTTTATTGCCTCTTATGTTTTGGTCTTATGAGACTTTTGGAAGACGCTAGATAACATTTTGTGGCCATTTTTAAGCTTTGAGGTAACTCCACTGAGGATAATGGTGACAAGTTATCATTTTGTACATGGAGGTTATTTTAAAATGTATGTTACTCATATATAAAGGTGTCATTGTTGACAACTTAAAAAATGTGCTGATCTCCAGCTCACAGTGTCATCTTTGGGATGTGTTTTACCACAGAAGGGGAATCAGATTATAGAGATATTGTCAGTGTCATGAGGTCGTCTGGAGTTTCATTACTCACTGGCAACAGGAAAGTGTTGCTGCATGTCTCTGTCAGTGTGTCAGTGGCTCCACCAGGCAGGGCAGGAAGGTCCTTCAGCTGAATTATGCAACCTGACAGAATGTGAACGAATGAGATGTAAAATCCCTGTGTTGTCACTGGCTGGTGATTGCTGCTGTGGCTTTGAGGTTGTTGTTGACATGAGTAAGAGAGTTTAAAACATAGCAATAACATGCTTCAAAGGTACATTTTCTGCTTAAATTTAATTTGTTTCTATCTAGAAAGTTTTAATTTTACAAAGAAAATAAAGAGTCACTGCAGAGAGTTAGGACTGAATCACATTACAACCAGCTTTTAACTGTTCATGGCAAAAATTATCAGTATTTTAAAGGAAGCTAATATTGCTAAGCTAATGTGGGGGACGTTTTGGTAGCTAATATAAAATTTAACGCTAATATACGTAGGTTACCTATATTTTCTGGCAGCATTTCTATTGCTAAAATACGAGTACAGTGCAGTAGGTGTTGTGCTGCGTTGGGTATTTTATTAATTCTGGATAATATAAGACAAGCCAATGTAGCACAAACAATAGTTTCATTTTAGTAAAAAAAGCTAATATACGGTAGGTTAATATAGTAGCAGCTAACATAAAAGCTAATATACCAAACATATTAGCCAAGCTAAAGCAAGTGAAATGTTGGCAATATAAGAAGTTAGCTAATGAAAGAATAGCTAATTTCTTACATCTGTCTCTTAAACTCAGTTATTGAAAAGTTAAATCTTCACTCCTCAGAAATTTTGTTGTTTGATAAAAGGTCCTAAATAAGAAGGAAAAAGGCAAGAACTACAAACAAGATGTTTGTATTTAGACTGTAAAAAGTTTGTTGTGTTTTTAGCTGGTTTACACTAACAAATAAAATTTAAATATAAAAATGTCTAATTTCTGATATCTTACAGTGCACAGGACTGCAGTTTGTCTTGCGTTGTTTTTATTTTCTATCTCATCAAGTTTTCTCACCATCTTCTCAGCATCACCCAAACCCACTCATCCTTCTCTCTGATACGGCATTTGTCCCATCATGCACCTGCATTTCCCTTTACATGCATGCTCACATCTTTGGCCGTTGGCGGGAGCTTCTTCCCAGATGCTTTGTTGTGTCTGAGAGCGTGTGGGAACATACGCATCCTGAGCTGTGGGTGGTGGGTGGAAAGCAAATGTGAATAGTGATTTTTTGCCATTCTCCTTCCAGCTGGCTCAAAAATATCCTGCGAATTTAATGACAGCCTGCAAACGCTGCTGCTGTTTGCAAGTCGGTTCTGTGTTGCTGAGCTATCTGAGAAAAGAGTTGGTTTTTCTTTACTATTAAACACGCTAAGTTACTTTGTGTGAGTTTTTTTGAGTGGGTTTGTTAAACAGAGTTGGGTAGTAACTAGGATAGTACTTTATTTGAAGAGATGCGCAATGTTAACACTTTTAATTGACTTTTAAAGTGAATTTTGCATTAAAATTGTCATTACTTACCAAATGATGCTTAGCACTGCAGTTAATTTGTTTCTATCTAGAAAGTTTTAATTTTACAAAGAAAATAAAGAGTCACTGCAGACAGTTAGGACTGAATCACATTATAACCAGCTTTTAACTCTTCATGGCAAAAATTAACAGTATTTTAAAGGAAGTCTTATGCACAACCCTTCAATTAATGTAACTAGTTATACTTACTTGAGAAACTTTTTTGGGAAAAAAATATTTTTAGGACTATTTTTACTACGCTGTACTTTTTCATTTTGAGTAATTTTTATTTATTAAGTGCCGCTACTCTTTCTTGCTTAGTTTCTGAATACTCTATCCACACTGCAAAAAACTCGCTTCTAGTGCAAATATCTTAATACACTTAGTAGTGAAAGAAGACTAACTTACAGGCAACTTTTCAACAAGATACAGGAGCTTTTTTTAAATAAATAATTCCTTAATACTGATGAAAAAGGTCTAGGTCAGCTGGTAGAATATGTCACTTATAACAAAACATTTATCTTGATGATAAAAGTAAAATAACAAATATGTAAGCTAATAAATTTATATTAGTTAATATACTGTAGGTGTTGGTTGAGCTCGGTAAAATACAAGAGCTAAAATTCTACAATAGCTAAACATAAACATAAAAAGGAGGTAATGTATGTCATGCAGTCTTTACATTTAAGTAAAAGAGCTAATGTAGCTAATATATTAGTTAAACCTTATACAAGAGAAGCTAATGTGGCTATTGTAAGTGTCTCTGTGTCAGTGGCTCCACCAGGCAGGGCAGGAAGGTCCTTCAGCTGAATTATGCAACCTGACAGAATCTGAGAGATAATACAGCATTTCAGTCACAGTGCTATAGCAAGATTAACTAATGTAACAGCTAAACTGATCATTATCATTTATGTGTTATTTATTTATTTGTTATCATTTAGCAATGATAACAGAAATAATTGTAACAAAGCTAATTATGTGCATTATAATTAGCCAATAAAGCTAAAACAAGAGAATCTGACACTGCTAGTATAAAACCCAAGTGAATGCAAAATGAAATGTAAAACAGCTAATAAAAGATTAAATAAGATGGTAAATTTACCATTTACTGCCATTTGTCTAGCATATCTAATATAGTGCAAGGCTACTATCTTAGATATAACAATAAAGCTAAGCTAACAGGAGAAAAGCTAATGCAAGATAAATGTTGTTGAATAATTGTGTAGCTGTTCTGATCTGTCTTCCTGGAAATGTCTCTAAATTTATCCTGAACGTATCTTTTCACTTTCCTGCTGAATCTTAAGGATCAGTCATGTTTTGTTGTCCTGTTTTGTCTGTTTCAGGTACCTGAAGCCAGACGTTCACAAGAAATCCAAACACAAAACAGCAGTCATAAAAAAGACCCTCAACCCAGAGTTTAATGAGGTAACCTCCGTGTTTGTGTGTGTAACTGTGACAGGCGTTTTTGATTTCAGTTTGCTCCTTTTAGAGAATATTGTGTGACCTTCTGACCTCTTTCTTCTCCCCAGGAGTTCTTCTATGAAATCTCCTTCACAGAGTTAGCTTCGAAGACACTAGAGGTCACAGTTTGGGACTACGACCTGGGGAAGTCCAATGACTTCATAGGTGAGTTTATTACAAAAACAGTGATGATGAATAATAAATTTGTTTGTGTCTTATTAGGCCTAATTATTTCTAATAGCCAAACACGCTGCTCTGGTTCTGGATCTCATTGCAATAGAAATATATTCATGTGATGTAATGCAAGCAATAGTGAATGCCCATGGGCATCTGCAGAGAGCCGCTGGGGAAAATTTCATGGTGTGCAATTTGTCAGCGAAGGCGACAAGGGCAACCTAACTTATTAATATTTAATTTGTAATTTCCACTTTCAACATTTAAGCTCTACATGTTGAACTCGCTCACTTTTGAGCTTGTAGACTTTAAATCTGGAGCCAGACATTTCATGCTTGTTACTTATTTACACAACCAAAATATATTAATGGTACTAATTTAAAAATAATAAATTAATTAACCTCTAAAAAGTAAGGCAATAACTCAAAATCAAAGCTAGAAATCAGACCCATGTTTTCTTCTAAATCATGTATTACATTTCAGCTTAGTAAAAATATACTTTTTTAGTTGTTTTTCTTCTGAAATATTTACTGTTGTTTCAGCACCATATGGTCACAATTATGCTCAAAATTCTGACAAACTCGATTGAAAAATACATTATTTATCCCAGAAAGAAACTAACTGATCTCCAGTAGCAGTCAGTCAAGCAACAAATTTGAGGAGGACTCTGACTGAAGACCTTTGCTGTTTGATGTCAATTTCTGGGCTGCAGAGACGACATTTCACAGTAACAAACTGAAAAAAAAACTCAAATATTACCAAGTATTTTCGTCTAATTTTTGGTGCGTATATCTTAGTTTAAATTAAACAGTAGCTTCTCTTCAAAACATAGCTTATTTTAAGTTAATAATTACTTGATATTGATTTTTTTAAAGTCTTGTTCCACTTGCATATTATTTCACTTAAAATAAGACATTTGTTGTTATAATTTACCAGTCGAACTAGAACTTTTTCATTAATATTATGGAATAATTGACTTTTAAAAAACGTCTGTATTTTGGTCAAAACTTACCTGTAAATTTCTTTTTAGAACGAAATCATTATTTTGACATTATTCTCATAATATGACTTTGTTCATTTTATTCTGGTAATTTCATTTTTTTATTGTTCTTATTATGGCCTTAATACCCCATTGTAACTTTCAGCTATGAAATTATGACATTTAAAATTAGAAACCTATAAAAGCCTAGATATATTTTTAAAATCTGAAATATGAACTTAATGAAAAGTATGTTTAATATTTGCTTTAAAGATTTTTTAAATCTCATGCACATATACTTGCACAATGCACAATTTATTGAATACAACACGTCTGAGTTTGACATTTTGAATGTTTTGATGACATCACATCCCTCGTCTTTGGGTTTGAAAAATCTTCTTCTGCATCTCTGCTGTTTAGGGGGCGTTTCCTTCGGCTGCCACTCGCAGGGCGACACTCTGCAGCACTGGATAGACTGTCTGAAGAACAAGGGCCAGAAGGTGGAGCGCTGGCACACCCTGACCAACGAGCTGCCCGGCTCCACGGTGCAGGAGTGAAACCAGGACGATTCGCCGCATGCTCTGAGCACTTCCTGCATGACTGCAGTGGATTTGTTTCCCGGTGACTTTCTACCAGGATTGAAAGCAGCAGTGATCTAATGTTTGAGCTACATGAATGTAATTTAAAGGTGACTTTTTATGCTTCCTTCATCAGGTGAGGATAGGGCTGTGGTCTACACAAAACATGTTCATCACATTTTTTGCACAAAATAATGAGATTTTTAAAGAGATTCTTTCAGAATTAGTTTTTTCAGGGCCGCCGGTCATTTTAAATCCATACCCCCGCTTAACATTTACACTCGCAAGTGAAAATGGTTGCAAACAATTTATATAATCGTACCACTACGACAAGCATTAGTAGAGCCTCCTGCACAACCAACAAGAATGCAGTAAGTGGTTTCTCAATGGTAAGTCAACAACAAAACACTTGCCTTTTGCCTTTTCCAGCTGCCAAAGCAGTAAAACCAGCGGGAGCTCTGCTTTGGTTGCTAGGTGACAGGCGGAGTACCGCTGGAGTTGCTAGGTTACGGCGCAGTGGCCGTAGACATTGCCTATAAAGACCTGGATGTCATTTTTTAAAACTATTTGTGTTATAAGAAGCAGTTGAGACCCAAATTGAAGAACAAAAATACAAAATATAAATGCCGAAATTAAAAACTAACTTACAAGAGCTTGTTTTAAGTTATTAATATATTAATACTGATGAAAAAGATCCCCTCACAGATTATTTCACTTTTAAAGGAGAAAATGTCTCATTATAAGTAAAGTAATTTACCAGTGGAACTAAAAACTTTTAAATTAAAAATAAGCTCCTATTTATTTGTAAATTAATTTTGTTACTAGAAACTAGTATTATTTCACTTAAGACATTTTTCATCTGTTGCAAGTGAAATAATCTGCCAGTGGAACTAGTACTTTCTTTTTAATATCAATATGAAGAAATTATTGACTCAAAACAAACTCCTATATTTTGCTAAAGGGTTAATTGTTAGTTTTGTCTTATTTCAAGTATACTAAGATATTTGCACTGGAAATTGTCAACCAAGTTTATATGTATAGGACATTTCAGCAACATGGCAATTCAAAGTGTTTTACATTGTGAAAACATAAAAACCCATTAAAAACACAACATATGGTCAACAGGTGTGAACAGACATCAAATATGTTGGTTCATTTTCCATTTATTATGGTTCAAAATCAACTAACAGGTGGGTCTTCAGTCTAGACCAAAAATACTTGGTAAGATTTTGTGTTTTTGCCGTGTTGAAGTATAAAATCGTGCAAAAAATGAATTTTGCATAATGGGTCCCCTTTAAAAACATTCACAGGCGTTCGTGTCTGTTTGGAGAATCTAAAGGCACCAATCTGATCTGATTTAACAAGAAATCCTGCATCTAGTGAGTGTGACATCAGGGAGGGAGTTTTAATTATTCTACAGTTTGACTTCCATTCAGCTTTGCTTGCTTTTATTAAATCCTGTCAGTTATTTCCATTAACTCCTGACATTAAATCTCGATGTTCCTGGCAATAACTTTCTTTTCTTCCCTGATGCTTCCAGAGATTTCCAAGTGGTCTTAATCCTGCCGGACATTCCCAATCTATTGATCTGCCTGTCACTGGGCCCTGGCTGATAGGATAATTGGCTCTTTTAATGTCAATGGTTTGTGTGAGTCGTTTGCATGTTTGATGTTGATGGGGTAAAAGAAGAGTTTTATTCTAACTCGAATTTCGATGTATGTAACAGTTGTTTGATGTGTCAGCTCTGATATTTCTGTGTCGATGCTTTGTTTTATATATACATGTATAAAAATAAAGCAGATGGCGGCGTTTTAATTAATAAATGACACAATCAGCCTGTTTGCCAATTAGTGATGAATTGTTTTAAAAACAACAGTGTTGTGTGGTACCTCTGTATTTTACCAAACTGCAGGTTTTATCTGTGGTGAATCAGGCTAATGCGAATAATAATAATAATGGTGTTTATATGTAAATACTTTTGGTGTATTAACTGTTTTGAATATTTGTTATTTTGTAAAGTGGGCATGATTGTTGTTTGTTTCTTTATAAAGCATTCATTTATATATAACTGGTTGCAAACTGGCCTCTGTGAACCTCTTCTGTTTATGCACAGCCCAGCGGCAACTCAATAAAGCTAAATACTGCCACCTAGTGTCCTGAACCTGCAACTGCAACATATTTTCTAACAGGTGAGCAGAACAATGCTTACTTTATAAAAACAGGAATTAAAAGAATAAAAAGAACTACCTAGAGGAGCAAGATGCATAAAAATCTCAATTTTTATTGGAAACTGGGAAGGATTTATAAAATAAATTGATCTTTAATTTGAAATAGAAAAATTTAGAAAATTAAATTATGTGAAAGGGAAAGTCACTAGATAAAGAAACTATTTAAAACAAACAAAAAAAACATATACCACAATAACTCCGTAGTAAAAAGTAATCTAACCTTTATTTTAAAAAAATGTATTACTGCGTTTTATAAAGTTTGGGGTGCAAATGTGTCATATCACCTATCCAGTACATTTAGCAGTGAGTACATGGGTTGATTGACAGCGCTAAGACAAGAAATATTTTTAATATTTGTTACATATTTGAACAAGCATATAAAAATATTTAATATATTTTTCCATCAATTTCTTTATTGAAATGTTGAATATATTACAGAAAGAAACAGGAAATACATTCCCTTACAATCGACTGAAGCCATTAGCACAGTTACAGAGGCAGAATTCAAAATAAATAAATTAAAAACATAATTAAAAGTGTATAAAAAAAGCAAATAAAAACAAAAAAATAACTATAAATTATTTATTGCTGCGACTGAGCCCCATTCAGCTTTGTACGCTTAGAAAATATTTTATATGTTTAATAAAAGTTAGAAAGTACATAGAGCTTTAAGGGATCTAGTAAAAAGTTGTAAATCCATATTCTAATGACATTTTTTCAATATTTTATTGACCATTTGCACCTACGTCGCTATATAATTCGAGGCGTCATGATGGGACTGGAGTATTGAACAGAGCGACCGAAACTGTTTTCCAAAGTTGCTTTTGTCAGTTTATTCATGGCTTCTACTTGTTTAAGTCGAAGCTAATTTGTCTCCACACCTGGTTGGAGCTCATAGTCGGCGGGATTTAACTAATTTGGATACGGCTAGCTTAGAAACCGACCCGTCCCTCCTCCCTGCTGACGTGTTGATTAATTACTAACTGTCTGAATTCACATCACATAATTTAGATCACGATGTTTACATTAAAAACGTACGAAAGACGAGATGCTAACATGCTAGCATGTTTGTCGATACATGCTAGGCTACATGACGGTGCGGCACTGTCTCCATGGTTACCAATATTTAGACGCACCTTCTCCATAATGCAGTGTTTAATATCGTTATAACCATATTTGAAGTACATGAACGTTAGTCTTACCTTGTAAAAAGCGTTCGCTGTAAATCCGCCATTGCTCCAACGGTCGTAGTGATGGCGGCTGCCGTCCATCGCCGACGTTTCTTTCCTCATCAAGTTATTCAGTAAAAATGGCAAGTTTGATTCCCATCTCCGTTTAAACGTCCTGTGACACATTCTTAAAGTGGAACGATCTCAAGAAAAGCGATATTAGATTACAGATGTCTGTCTTTAGCAGGCTTTTAAGAAAGGCTTTGGTTGTTTTAACGGTCCATCATGGCGGAGTGGGCGGAGTTCTGAGGAGCGTGACGTCACGTCCAAACGGTCAACAGAAGAAGAATACATTTGCTGTAATAATTTATTTTTTTCTCTCTCTTTTCCGAAGAGTTTTGGCCCATATTTCTTGAAAGTACGCTGACAGGAAGGAGGGGAAGACATGCGGCTAATGTCGCCGGGCCCGGGAATCGAACTCGTGACGAGGACTAAGGTCTGCATGCGTGGGTTATGCTAATCCACTACGTCATCACAGCACGCCCACTGCAATCATTTCTAAATCTGAAATCATGTAAAGTTTTACTTTGAGGCTCATCTTCCATGAACTCAGTTTGTTCTGTCTGACGGGCCAGGTCAAAGGTCAGCGCCAGAACATCATGGTGTTTATGTAGAAACACAGCCAGTCACAAGCAGAGTCGACTGACCAGATCAGGAGCCCCGTCAGGCAAGCGGAGATGCAGCCCCAGTTTGTGATTATTGTGCGTTTTCTTCTCCCCGCTGGGAGGGAAAGATGCTCAGTGCGAAATAAGAGAAGGCTGCTGATGTTTCATCACTGTCACCGTTTATTTCTAGACGACTACGCCGCAGACGATCTGTCCTTTCCAGATGCTCTCACTTGGAAACACAGTCAAAGTTCAAAATGTGTGATTAGTGATGTTAAAATGCATAATTAGATAAATACATTAACACTCTGCCGGAGGAAAACAGTGTGGTGCAAGTTGATTAAAATTTCAATACGAGTTAATTACAGGGTCTGTAAATAATTAATTCCAATGAATCACTATCTAATGTAACTACATTTATTTGAGTAACTTTGGAAAGAATAAACTTTTAGGAGTAGTTTTACAACACTGTACTTTTAACATTGGTAATATTTTTATAAAGTATCTCAACCTTTTCTTGAGTGAAATTTCTGAATGAGTAAGACTTTTTATTTGTGCACAATGTTTGTTTTTCTTTTTCTGGAAGTATCATAGAGTCTGTCTGCATTACAGAATTACATTAATTTGATAGAAACAGGGCTGGATGAGAACATTTGAAAATAAGTCATTTTTTATTTTACTTTTTTGAGAATTTCTAGGTCATTTCTCATTTTGCTTTAAATAAGCCATTAAATAGGTCAAAAAATGGTTAAATTTGGGTTTTGCATGTAAATAGTAACAATGAATCTGCTTCTCTACTGCAGTAATATGAAGTTACACCATGCTGCTCATGTTTTCATCAGGCTATGATCTCATCAGGCTTCATGACCTCAGACTCTTTCACTTACAGTAAACAGACACACAGAATAAATTAGGTCAGCTCTTCATCAGCATATTGATGTCATCCTCAGTAACTTTGCTGTCTGCGCTTTTACATGTGGAGCAAATGTGACGGTCAACTGAAAACCTGATAAACACACAGCTTGTGCTGCCCCCTGTTGGACGCCTACGGTTAGACACTTGTATCTGAATGACAAAACTAAATTTAGCTTTTAATTACTCTCTTGTAAGATTAGATGGAAGCAAAACTAATTTACAAAGTTGTTCCCTTTTGATGTTTTGCAATGATTTCTAATTAGATCTGCAGGCAAATTGCAAATTAAGCTTGAAAGAATGATAATAAATGTCATTTTGTTTTAATTAGCACAGTATGAAACGTTATATAACAAGTACGTTTAATTGAGATGGTTCAGTTTTGGGTTATTGTGTTAAATCTTTGCAATGGTTGGGGGATTTTTTTGGGAAACCCTCCACCATAATGCTGAAAAATATATCATTTTACACTTTGAGTTTGCTTTTTGTCTTATTTTTATAATAAATAGCAAACTGTCTCTTTAGCAAGCTAATAATAATTAAGTCAAAATGAGTTAATCAATTACCGGGCTTTTCCTAGGTAATTTCATGAAAAGTACTTTATAGGTTCCTGGAAAATTATTTGGTAATTTCCATAAAAGCTCCAAAGCTGATGAATTCATTTAGCCACCAGAGTTTCCTACACAACTCTGCTGCATTATGCACTAACTTAACAACAACGTTACTAAACAACTGGTCTAATCTGGCTGGATTACTATTTTTCCTAATCTAGAACAATTACACCTCCTCTGGATAAATTCACAATACAAATCCAGATTTGTTCCCCCTGCAAAGGCAAAGGAAGTAAGTAGCACATAAAGATTGTTTTCCACACCAGACTGACAACAGAGCATCCAAAAAATGCCAAACTGAATCAAGCATCTGTGTTTATTCATGACCCAGCTGGATAATCTCTGACCCACTTTCTGCATCTGGATGTAACTGTGTTGGGTGAACTGATCTCCCTCTGAGCCATTCCCTATTGTAAACAAAATATAAAATTAGCTGAGTACAACAAACAATGACTTTAAGTGTCTAAATGTTAAGAGTGGTTGATGGAAGAATTGATGTTGTCAGATGTTAGCGGAGCGGTTTTATTTCTGTCAGTCTTGTTCAGATTTTTTTGCAACTAGTCAGCAGTTTTTTTTCTTGATGTGTGACACAAATTCAACATATTGAGTCTGTGGGTTTATTTTTTAACCCATAAAAGTGCAAAACATCATATTTTATCTCCAGCGGCCATTGGGGCGAGAGAACAAGTCGCAACACAGAAAACTCTTTTTTGTTTATCTTTGGTTTAGTTTATATCTATAAAGCAGTTTCTGTTTTTTATGCTGTAAAAATTTAATTTTACTTACTTACAAAGAGAGAACCCAGGCATGACAGAGAGAAAATGCAAATTCCAAATAATTTTTACATAGTTTTGATTCAGAAATAATTTTTTGCTTTGTTAAGCCACTTCTCCACATAACTGTTTTATTTTATTAAATTATTTCTTTGTCGCCTTTTAGCTCAGGAATTGCAAACAAGGAAACTTCAAGTATTATCACCGTCGAATTGTTTAGCTTTATTTTCCCCCCTTTAATGCAAACTTGCTGTGTATATTTGTGGAGGCAGATCAAAATGCTAGCCACTGCTAGCATTTTAAATTGTACAATTCTCTGTCAGAATCCACAATAAATAGCTTAATATTTTATGCTCATTAGCAAATGTTACCCTACTTGTTTCTTCCAAGTTAGCTTCTTTAATTAGCAAAGAAGAAACACAGACGTCTTTGCAAAATAATAACTTCTGTTCCCAAACGCTAAAACTTTTTTGTCATTTTCAGTTTTCTATCTGTCCTATTTGGAGATATAGTCTGATATTTATAGTCCCGGTTATTGGCACCAGCCACTCTTTATAGGCAAATGTTAGCATGCTAATATAAAAGCGATTAACTGCCAGAGCTAGGAAATAAATTCAGAACCAGCATCTTCTTAAAATGAGAAAATGTCTTGCCACAAAACAGGTTTTACATCTCATTGAAACCAACATATATTCAAACAAGAAAGGTAATAAAAAATGACAACCGTCGTTTAGAAGAAACTACAATAAGATAAAGGTGTTTCAACAAGTTCTGTATGCTAACATGAGTTGTTTCGCATTAGCATGTCACTCAAAGTAGCAACATGTTTGTGTTAGCAAAGTTTTATCGTTTTAAGCTTTAATTATAAATATATAATTTCACCAAATAAAAGTGTATTTTTAATTAACTGTTTTGACTATAAATTAGAGAAATTGTGCAATATTTTTGGATTAGCATTGCAATCCAGTAATTTTCTTAAATAATTAGCATCCAGGAGGTTAGCCCTAAGTTTCCTCTGTAATGTTAAGTTGTTTAAATTCATGGTTGAGAATGTAATATGGAATAAATAGTCACATATTTTACAGAAAATGTCTGGATCACTGAATATAAATTCTAAAAACTTTCGGTAGAATTTAGTGCTAATTAGCAGTGGCTAGCATGCTATTCCTTCTGTTAGCTTCTTTTATTAGGATGGACAACAGGAAGCGTTTCCCCTGGGTAGGTTGACAGTCCAGCACAGAACAATCAAGGGCATAATTGGCCATTTACTCGCTTAAATGCACTTTGGAATGACCAATTAACCAAACTATTCTGTTTTCAGGCTGCAGGAGGAAGGTGAATAAACAAACTGCATGCAGAAAGATCCACAGCCGAGAATTGAACCAGGACCTTCTGCTCCACTGTGCAGCCTAGTGTTGATTTAGGAATAATTTACCGCAAAAAAACAAATATTGCCAAGTATTTTGGTATAGTTTCTAGTACAAATATCTTAACACATTTGAAATGAAACAAAAACTGACTTACAAGTTACTTTTCAGTAAATAATCTCTTAATGTTGATTAAAAACAGTTTCAGTTTTTAGTAGTTTTTACTTTTTTGTCATAGAAAATTGTTTTGAATTCCCAAGACAAAAGATATTTTTCAGACAAAATAAATAATAATCATAAATGATTTCTTAATATTGATGAAATGTACTCGTTCCACTGGCAGATTATTTCATTTATATCTAGACATTTTGATAATTTGTCAGAGGAACTCGCACTTTTTCATTTATATTAAGAAGTTATTGATTTAAGCAAGCTCCCATATCTTTCTGAAAAGTTACTTGTAAGTTGAACTTTTATATTTAAACCAACAATACTTGTAATTTCCAAACATGTACGCTCAGTAATAGAATTGTTAAAGTGATGAGAGAGGAATGTTTCAGGTTTCACTTGCAGTGGCTTCGTTAAGGGTTTTAAAACCCTCTGAGAAAATAATGAGAGCTGGTTTAGCTTTGATTTCTGCTGCAGTCATCCGAGAGTCGAGTTCTCATTACAGTCCATCATCAGCGAGTTTCCCTGGCTCTGAGCTGCTCCCTTCAGCGTTTCCTTCTTCCTGCTGTATCCAGCAGCAGCAGGCGCTTTGCATCACTGCAGCTTAACCACTGTCACAGCACAGAGACAGAGACACTAATACTTCTCCCACTTTCCTTAGTCTGGTGTGCATAATTGCAAAAGACAATCTGCTCTTCGCTTGCTAAGCTCTCTGGAAATGTCCCACATTTACCGTGACATTTATGTGTTTGTTGAATTTTCTTTTTGCATTGCAAAAGAATCTAATTTGAGCAGGTTGATTGTTTTTGATTGTTACGTTTTAATGGCTGTGAGGAATCACTGCGTTTTCATTACAAATGTAAAACTTTGTTTCTGTTCTGTAAAACAAATAATTTAGCACAATTACCCACCTGCTTGCAATTTTATGTGATTTTTATTTTTATTAGGATGGCCTCTAACACTCCATCGTAAAACAAAAAATATTATCAAAATAGAAATTTAAAAAATGATCTGGGCCAGCAGATTCCCAAAGATCTTTGGTGTTTTTCTACTAAATGCATGTTGTACTATCGTTGGACCTTAAAAAACTCGTAGGTTTATATATTTTTCAATATGGTTACAATGCAATTAATTTAAATGCTCAAATGTTTGAAAATTTAAACTTTATAGTAGTTTTTATGTAATTCTTAAGGCACCACAATTAAAACTAGCCAGAAACAACTGAGTTAAAATTTTTGAAAATATACACATCCTAAGGATTAAATGTATTAATTTTTTTTAAAAGAAGATGAAATAAATAATATTCCTATGGCGATCTTTAAATGAGAATCATATTTTGTGTGTAAGGGACACAGGTGGAGCACAAAATGAGGAAATCCCAAAGGCTCAAAGCAGAAACGTCTTCCATCTGCGCTGTTGCTGCTCTTTATGTCGTCAAAACAACACTGGAAAAGCCTCACATGCATTGTGTCTTTATTATGAACGTGTTGCAGAAGTATAATATTCCAGGTGTCAGCTTTTCTCTGTAGGTTACCATCATCATACATGAATAAAAATCCATAACATGCTAATAGCCACAAAGATTATAGAAGCCTGCTGGGAAGACAATGACTTCCAGCAGGCCGGCTACACAATGCTAACTCATTTAATATCACGCTATTTAGATTTATATCTACAGAATACATACAGTTGATTACAATTAAACTTACAATATAAGACAGAAAATATTAATAGTACATAAAATTTAGTACACAGCAAAAGAAAAAAAGCCTGGTGTTAATAAAACCCAGTTGTTGGTATCACAGTGAGGAATTACAGGTAGATAAAGGTTAGAGGTCAATTAAAAACATAAATATGGCAAAAAAGGTTGTACAGCTAAAGTTTTCACTCACAGAAACATTTCTGAACAAACATTTTACAAATTAGCCTTTAAAAGGAGGGCTATACACGTAAAAGCAACACATCCAGGGTAATAATAAAAAAAGAAAATCAGCCATAAGGGAGTTTATTAAAGAAGGAAAATGCTACATTAGGTCTGATTTTAAAGCACCTGTGGATAGAAACTGAAGTTACAGCTGCATCTCTGGCGACAAAACTGCAAAAATACAAAACCTTACAGAGTATTTTCTACATAGTTTCTAGTGCAAACACTTAGTATACTTGAAATAAAACAAAACTAACTCACAAGTAACTTTTCAGCAAGATACAGGAGCTTGTTTTAAGTCAATAAATCCTTAATATTGATAAAAACAATTACTAATTCCACTGGTAGATTATTTCACACAAACCAAAACACTTTACAAGTTGTAGTGAAATAATCTGCCAGTGGTGTTGGGCTTTTTCATCAGTATTAACTAATTATTCACATATATCAGTTATGTCATTTCAAATGTTTGCACGATAAACTAGACCGAAAATACTTGGTAAGATTTTGTGTTGTTAACCAAACAGTTAACGATTTCCATTACAAATGTGTGCAAAATTTTGCCAATATTCTGCTAATGTTGGAAAATAACTACCATTGTGGTGTTTCCATTAAATAAAAACACAATTCAAATAACAGGTATGTAAGTATTATTCACAATAAGTCATTAAAAAACATGCAGCACCCAAATCTTCCTCCCATTTCCTGTTGTCTCGTGACTTATGTGATGCGAAAGAGTTTTTGTTGCAGTTTTGTTAATTAAACCAAATTTTAATAAAAAAAATAATAGCAGCAAAACATTTGATCAAAAACACAAATTTAAATGTCCTTACTGGATGTTGGCATTAAAAAAATTAACATCATTTGAATGTTAATTACAAAAAACCTAATTTTTCAAAAGGTGTTTTGTTTTTTTTGTCTGCATCAAATGAATTTTCAAAAAAGCTGAAACTTTATTTTCGTCACACGAGCCTCTTGATCAACAACAGGATGTTGACACTGGCGCAAACCACAAAGAAGACGACGACAGGAAGTGGAAGGAGGACGGCATTGCAGCAGGTTTTTAATGACTTATGCATGAACAAACTCATTCAGAGGTGATTTAAATTACGTTTCTTATTTAATAGAAACACCACAATTGCAAAATTGTGTTTTGTTTTTTTTAACATCAGAATATTGAAAAAGCTTGACGGACATTTGCGATGGAAACGCAGCTCCTAAAACACAGTTCAGCGTTCATCAACGGCGTCACGATTCAGTCTGAAAAGGATTGTTTACAAACTTTATAAAAAAGGTGAGCTGACAGACGGTTGGACCGGACTGGATTTTGCTGCGGCTGCGTTTCGCTCCCAGCTCACAGTGGCGTAGAGTAAAAACACATTTCATGTTCCCGTCAGGAGAGAAAGCAAGCGGCTTCCCCACTGAATTTCTTTTTCATTTGGCACGTATTTTCCTTGGAGCGTGCCTTCTGTGCGAGATTTTCCATAATCCTAGTCCGAGTTAAACCCTTCCCTTCTCTCTTTCATCCGCTTTTACCACTGAAAATGCTGGGGCTCAAACGCAACGTGTTGGGCGTTTTGAAGTGATGAAAGTCACAGAGTTCAGTCTGAAACAAAAAAGAAGCAGTGTGGCTCAAAGTGTTTCTTCCACTGCATTGTAAATCCAGCAGCTTCTTCCGTGTTTGAGGGGATTGAACAGGCAAGCTGGTGCAGAAGGAGGGCGGACTCGGCAGCCATTTTGTCGCGATTGATGCTGTAGCCAGTAAACACTTCCCTGTTTTTAGTCACAAGTTGAGCTTAAAAGTCATTTTCTGCCCTCCGACTCGACACGGAAAGCAGCAGCATTTCGGATTATTCTCATTTCTTCCAACAATTACGGGGGTTGAATAGAGATTACAGGAATCTAAGTAAAGCGCTGTGAATCAGGAGTTTGTCACACATCCGGGTAATGACTGGGCGGTGGGGCAGGTGAGGGCCAGACGTTCTCTTCCCTTATCCGGTTTCATCCTGGGATGAAACTCAGGTTTTCACATTTACTAAAAAAAGAAAAGGGAGGCGTATTAGTCAGAGCTGTAATCTGCAGTAATCTACAGAATACAGTTACATAAACCGCTGGTATAGATGTGTCAAAATCATTTACATACAGTTTACATTAAAGGTTGTGAATTATTTTCTTTTTTTTTTTAAATCACTGATGACATAAATTAACACTTTGCAACCAGCAATTTGAATGCAGTCATATTCAGTAAATTAGAATATTCTGCTTCTTTGTCCAATTAAAATGAAAATAACCTGTAAGAAGATGCTAAACATATTTCTTTATTAAAAATGTTTGTCTAATGTAACAATATAATGTTAAGTGTTGTGTTTTCACAACACGGGAAGCAGAAAATGAACAATTTATAGAAAAAAGCTTGAAAAGCTACAAAATTGTGTAACAAGCTGCTGAAATAAAATACATTTTTAATCATTTTTTAATTTATTGCAAGTATGAAGAAGCTTTTAATTTAAAAAAGAAAAGAAAATCAGTGACTCTTCCTGGTGTATAAATATTTAGCTACTCTTCAAAATTGAAAACACAATTATGTTTCAATCTCACCTGCAAATCATTTTAATTTTAGTACATTTATTCAATTAAATAATTTTGTTCAATAAAATCAGTTTTGATGCAATTATTGTCCAAATATTTTTGTCTTTTTGTGTATTTTAACATTTTGAAATGAATCAACATGTATGAACTTCTAAATTAGAAATTAAAGAGTTCCTCTTCCCGAGACACTGTTCAAAATGGGAAAGAACAACAAACATATTTTAATAATAGTGTCATAAATCAGAAAATGGCAACTGGAAAATATACTGTAGGCGTAAGAGAAATAGTTGGACACTAAAACATTTAAATGGTGGATTCGCTGCTCTTTCCCATTTTGAAGAGTGAAGTGGTTTCTGTCACATCATGTTTGTATCTCAGGATATCAGGAGTTTCTTCGATTAACTTCAAAAGTTTGATTAAAAATGTTTGTTACAGAATTAACTCATTTAAAATATATAAATATATATTTTAGTTAAATCATTCAAGAAATTTCAAACTAAAGGTTGGATTTTTCTAAACATTTATTTCAATGTTTTTTGCACACCTTTACCAAGAGGTCAAGGTGCAAACACGTTTTTTTGCTTTTCCAAAAACCCAAATCTGTTCAAGTGACTGAAAGGATCATTAATCTGTTCTCAGAATATTTTTATTTAAAATAAAACACAACAAATGCACACAGTCGTTCATGTTGTGAGCCGTTTACATACAGGAACAAGACTTCACAGTCGGTACAAGCAAACAGGACGAGGCGAGGAACAGACAGCGATCGAACCGCAACACACTGCAGCTGCAGCGCTGCAGATTAGGGCCAGATTAACTCTATATGGTGGGATGACATGATGGCATCGTAAAGTGGAATAAACGGGAGAGTTCAGCTCAGCTGGACATGGGGTAAAGAGGTGTAGCTGGGGGTTAAAGGTCAGATTTGGGACACTCACTGGCCAGGTTGACAATGCAGGCGATGATAATGACCGTCCCTCCTACTAGAGACACCATGGACAGCATCTTGGCCACGCGACCCAGACGCACGGCGCCGTCCAGGTTCCCCTGCTCCAGGCTGTTCTTCGACTGAAAGGAGACAAAATAAATAAAAGTTTACTAATTGCTGATGGCGCCAACATTCATTTATCAACAACTGTTCCCCAGAGACGTGCGGTGAGGAACCGGAGAGTCAGAAATCCAAGATGGAGGACTTTAAATGTGTTTTGATCAGCTCCATATCATTTAATGACAGATTATGAGGGTCACAATGAAAAGATTGAAAAGTAAATTAAGTAAAAAATATTTGACTTTTGAAACTCAGAAATTGTTCTCTCTGGTGCCCCCCGGTGGCCACACCCCTAACCGCATGCCGCTGCTTTCCTCCACCTCCTGGTTTTACCATGATGGAGTAGACGAAGCCGACAATGTTGATGGGCCAGACGGGGCAGAAGCAGGCCAGCACAGACAGCAGGAGGTAGTCTTTGACCTTGGTTCGGTCCAGAGGAGGGTTAGTGGCGATGCTGGAGTGCCGGGACAGCGACGGCCGGGGCGAGAAGGCGGTGTAGCTGATGGAGCCCGCCCGGCTGCCCTTCCTGGTTTTGGCGTGGTGAGGGTAGGAGATGGAGTGCTGCCTCCTGGGAGGGGAGGAAATCACCGGTGAGGTGCTCTCTGCGGGGCCGGGGTGGATCCCGTTACCTGCGAGTGAAACGTGACAAGGACAAGCAAAAAGTCAGCGTGTTCAGTGTGAGGGTGTGTGTGTGTGTGTGTGTGTGTGTGCGTTCTCTGGGGAGTGACTCCATGCAGAGGGATTTGACTTTCCCAGAGCTTGCTGAGTAAGCAGCTGCATGCGACCCAACCTCCACCCACCCACTGCCTCAGTTCGAGGTCAAACACTGCAAAAACACAAAATCTCACCAAGTATTTTCAGTTTAGGTTTTAGTGAAAACATTTTAGTACACTTAAAATAATACATATATATAATTTTTAAATAGAAACATTTAAATTATGAAATATTAAGAAAGTACTGGGCAGCTCTTTTTCAATTTTAACATGTGAATTTTTTTTTTTACAGTGTGCATCTTGAGTATTCAGCTACTTTGCTGTCAAACAAGAAAAGCATAATTTAAAAGAAAATTCTGAAAATATGTTCATATATATATATATATATATATAGTTCTTTTTAATCTAAACACTGTAAAAACAAAATCTTACCAAGTATTTTTTGTAGTTTCTAGTGTAAATATCTCAGTAACCTTAAAATACAAGAAACTCTTCAGTAAAGTATAGGAGCTTATTTTAAGTAAATAATTATTCATTAATACTGATAAAGTTCTAGTTCCATTGGCAGATTATTTCACTTATAAGTTGGAAAAATGTTTGGCTATAAGTGAATTAATTTGCAACTTAAACTACTTTTAAGTCAGTAAGAAGGAATTATTGGCTTAAAATAAGTTCTTGGTCTTGCTGAAAACTTAAATGTAAGTTAATTTTGTCTTATTTCAAGTGTGCTGAGATATTTGCATTTGAGACTAGACAAAAATACTTGAGTTTTTGCAGTGAACTCACCGTTCTTCAGTTTCTCGTTGATGACGATCACCAGTTCTCCTTTGGACTTGCTGCGGGGCGGCCTGGTGTCGGTCAGGCTGCTGCAGCTGTGCAGCAGCTCTTCGCCCCCCGGTGAGCTGCACGGCATGGGGATGACGGCAGCCTGACTGGAATCGGGGTCGTCGTGATCCATGAGCGACGGCTGTTCTTCGCCTGGCCAAACGGCAGGAAGTGGATTTGTGTTAACGGCCATGACGACGCCAAAGCTGAGCCTCTGATTCTGGTCCAATCCTGTTTGTGCTGTCTGTAGTTAAACCTGAAGACGCATAACAGTTTAACTTGGTTACAAATCGCAACCTTTAAAGTTCACTAGTTTTAGACCACTGCTCTTCTAGCATTCTATGGAGCATAGCTGTGCTACAGTGACAATACCAAAAATAAATCCTGTTTTGCTTAAAAATGGTAGATGTGTAGTATAAAAAAATAATAATCAGCAAATGGCTGAGGTTAAGTTTTCTAGCTTCCTGGGAGAGCTACCTGTACTGCAATGCTACAAATTAAGCTGAAGATGTCTTGTTTTTAGAGATGGCTGCCATGTGAATAAACTAAAACAGTACTTTGAAGCAATGGGTGCTTGGAGTTCAGGTACAAAGCTTTTCTAGCTTTCTGTGAGAACTGGCTGTGCTGCAGTGCTAACATTAAACCGGAGGAAGCTGCATTTAGTTTTAGGTAGTTACAAATAACTATTGATGACCAGTTTTAGACAATTGCTCCTCTTGCTTTCTAGCACTGCAGTGCTACTGCTAAAAAGTCAGTACACTTACGAATAGGAATGATATGATAAAAGTGAATCCGAAACATTGCCACAATCATTGAAGCAATGGCTGAGGTTCAAACTGCAGCTTTTCTGGTTTCCTGTTATACCAATCTGTGCTGCAATGCTTAAACAAAAAACTGCGGTAGGTGGTAATGTCAGTAAGTTAGTTAGAAATGGTTGATGCGGATAAATTTGAGATTTCAGTCAGTTCCCTGATTTCTTGTTTTTCGACATCAGGCTCCCTAAGAGCCACATGAGAAAAATCCATAAACAGACCATAAAGAACCATTTTCTCCCTCCCACTGTTTGAATATATTTTTGTTATTTGAGCTCAGAACTGGGAAATTCCAACACATTTTGTATTGTATAACATAATTCTCATCTCCGTTTAATGTTTAAAACACAAAGGAACATGAAAGCAAACAGAGGTTGTACCAACAGGAGTCACATTCCACAAAAATAAAATATAAAATAAGAAATGACCAATAACTGAACTGTAGCTACATGCTAATGCTAGCTTGTATATGAACAGATGAGTAAAAAAAAAACAGGCGGATCGTTTGATTCAACAACGTTAATTTAATTTCTAGTCTCTACTTTTAGAGGAAGATGAACACTGTAGTTTTGTAAATGTACAGATTAGTTCCCGTTTAGGGATTTTACCGGAGCTTCAAGGTTTCCCGCCATTAGCTTTAGCTTTCCGCCATGACACTCAAACTGAAGCTGCAGCGAAATCCCAAACTACTAAAAATAAACGCCCTTTTGTCACTTAAAATACGATATTTACAAACTGAAGTAAGAAAACGACGCATCCGCGCTGACAGTGTAAGTGTTTTTACAACAAGTGGTTTTCAGCCCTGTTCCTCCGGGATCGTGTCTTTTGTTTCGTCCTCCGCGGTTCAGCTTCGGCTCTACTCGGCTGCCTCCGTCACAATGTGGGTCGGGAATGAGGGCCCAGGCGCAGAACCTCTGCTCATATTTTAATTAGGATGTGATCATTTTGGTTATTTTTAAAAATCAGCCAGGAAACTGTAATGGCTGCAGAGAGAATGATGCTGATAGTTTTGGTTGTTTTTAACAATTTAGGTTCTTTTTTCTCACATGACATTTATCTGCTTCAAAATAAAACAATTAAAAATCCCAGCGGTATTAATATACAAAAGGATCCACGTCAAGTTTTTTTGTATTTAATAATTAGGATTTGTATTTCTGAAATGTCATGTTTAATCTGGTTTTAGATGTTTTTTTTTATTTTTTAAATATCTATCCAAAATAATTTAGTCAAAATAAGTAATGCTCTTATTTTACGAGCTTTACATCTATTTAGACTGATTAAACCATCAAAGCAGACCTTACATTAAAGGGGAAAAACAAAAACAACCCCTTTAGATTTTTTTCCACTATTTAAATCCACCTCCATCAGCATATTTACATTTAAAAAGGCATAATCCTGTTTGACATTAATCCTGCTATATAATCACTTCCTATATTGCTTTATAAACATTAAAAATGGATCAGATTAATTATAAATGGGGCCTGAAATGTGTCCATAAGCCATGAAGTGAAGCGAGATGAGGAGAGAGAAAAGCGGGTCACAATGACACGAGGTGGGGATTCAAAGGCAGGTTTCTTTGAATTCACCCTGGCAGCCATTAGTCTCTGTGCAGGTGTGTACACAACTGCTAACCACCATATGTCTGCTTCTACAAAAGAATAAAACAAAAGGGACAAAAGGATGAACGAAGGAATCGAGGCTGCGCGTTAATTAGCTCCGCTGCTGCTCATTTGTATTCAGCAGATGGTTATAGTGCTACAAAAAAAAAAACTATTGACATTTCAATTTAATGTAAGCAAAGTTTCCTCTTTCAACAGAAAAATCCAACGTACCGTTTTATTGCAGCGCCTTGTCGTTACAGCCGGGTTGTCCCTGGATTTGGCATCGTGGGGAGCGAAATTCACCCCCAAAAATAAAAGTAAAAATCACAGGCAGTCAAACATTATGTTGAACGAACAGAAAAATAAATAAATCTAGTAGTTAATGTTGCATTGAAAGCTTGTTGGTGAATCCTGGCGATGCAGTGAGCAGCGGTGGATGGAGACTCCAGGATGGGAGGGTGGATCCGGGAGGAGGGGTGTGTGTGTGTGTGTGTGTGAGAGAGAGAAATCCACCAGGCTACGTGCAAAAGGAGAAAGAGGAGGAAGGTGGGGGTTGGATTATAGCATCATGCTCTCATCTAACCTGATAAAAATAACTAAGAAAAGCAAAAATGTTTGACATTTATCCACTGGTAAAGAAATAAGGCTGAAATCCAAAGATCTTATCACATTTCTGAAATAAGACACGAAATGCATTCAGGTGAGGTTTATTAAAAATGCACAAGAGTGCCACCACCAGGCAAAAAGATGTTACTACAAAAATATTACAAAAAAGAAAAAAAAAAAACGTCCATCACAGGAATTATATATATTTAAGAGGTGAGTTCATAAAAGTTCATTTTCCCATGGCACTCAGGATGTTTGCCTGCAAAAAAAAAAAAACAGACAAACATCAATGAGCATCAAATACTGGAACATTTTTATATTTCAATTAAGTAAACATCCAGCCAAAAAACAAATATTAGAAGTACAGAGTGGTTGATTAAATTTGAATAACTAAGTTTAAAGAAGGAGTAAAATTTACAATATAGCAAATTAAAAGTTATTGAGTTAAATTGAATGTGATGAGCAGACAAGATGGCCGACTTCATAGCATAAAAGAGCTGCATGTTTCATAATATGCTAAATTAAAAAATAATTTTAGCATTTTGTGTCAGAAAGTTGAAACACAACAAGATGTATTTAGAAAAAGAAAAAAAAAGTGAAATGTGAAACGATTCTTCATGAAGACGTTCATACAGAAATGATTCATTTTGTTTATGAGCTTTAATTTATGACAATCCTCAAAAATCAACTTTGCTTGTTGGCGTTGCCTTTTACATCTTTTATACTCTGAGTATAATTTCAGCAGCATAACCAGGTTTTATCACAAAGTCAGAGCGGGAATGTAAACACGCTCCACCAAACAGATAGAAATAGTCTGGATGAATCCTCTGGAAGACGTAAAGCAAACAATCTGAGGCCTAATCAGCACAAAGAAGCTGCCAGTAACAAAGATTCAACTTGTACGCTTTTTACTCAGGCAATTTCCCCTGAGCGTCTGGATGTGAACAAAGGCAACAACAATGAAACAGACAACAGAGAAATCCTGTTTCCACATGGAAAAAGAATGGAGCTTCAAAAGAACTGGAATCTTTGATTGCCAAAATAAACAGATATGTTTTAATTGCTGTCTGAATTTATTGATTCATGACTCCCTTCCTACACACACACACACACACACACACAAAAAAGAAGCTTAAAATGATTCACGTTTAGTTTATTGCTGAGTAGTTTCTTTAAAAAAATAACTGACTCATCTGTTATGAGAAAATTGAGCTGCATCTGATTACAAGAATAAAGTTACTGTCAATTTACCTTCATGAAAGAAGAAAATCTCTTCTGCGTCATGCCCTCTACGTTTATCAAATCTTCCAACTGCAATAAATAAAAATAAATGGAAGTGACTGAGAGTCATTCAGGTTGTTTGATAAAACATCGTCGTCCTCCTACCTTTGTGAAGTGGCCGTGGATTTCCCTCCAGCCCAGGATGAGTTTGGCCTTTTTGTCGCCGATCTGCTGCAGGCCTTTCAGCTCTTTGAGGCAGCCCGTGTTCAGGATGTGCAGGATTTTCTGTTTGGACTCATCCAGAACCGACGTGTCCAGCTGGGACTCCCAGGAGCTCTCCTTCATGTTTTCTTTACCATCTGGAGGCTGCCATAGAAACAAATAACCAGATTATAATCTGACCGGCTAATTTCAACAGTAAACATGTGTTCATCTGTAACGGCTCGAGTAGACGAGGGCAGACAGTTGACCCATAAATCTGACATCCTGCAGAGTGTGTGTGTGTATGTGGTCAACAGAAAATGCTCTGCATCAGCTTGTATCTGATGGATGCAACTCTGCAGATGTGCCAAGTCAAAGCGTCGGCTGCTGACCTCGACCAAGTCTGAAAGCTTCTTCTCCTTCTTGGTGACGCAGGCCGACTTTTTCCTGACGACGGCGAGCTGCTGAAGAGGCTGGAGCTGAGACACTGCAGGAGGGGAGAAGGCTTCGATTTAATACTTTAAATGTGACCCATTCTGCTTCCCTCAACAGGTTAGGACAGTTTCTGGCCTACACAAAACATGTTCATTAAATTTTTTTTCTGAATGCGTTGTTTCAGGGCGTCCTGTCTCTTTAAATCCAAATAATCTGCTGGCCGCACACACCCAACTCATTTACACTCACAAGAAAATGTATACAGCTGTATGTCTATGAAAAGCAGAAGAGGAGCCTTGTGTACAACCAACAAAAAGGCAGTAAGTGGTTTCTGGATGGTAAGTCAACAAAACACTTTTCTTTTCCAGCAGCCATTGTACAACACAGCAGTGAAACCAGCTGATCAGTGCAGGCATCTGTGTTCACTTGAAATAAGACAAAACTGACTTTATAAAAGTTTGCTTTGAGTAAATAATATTGTTAATAAAGTGCTAGTTTCACTGGCTGGTTATAGTTTCTCAAACGGTTCATTTCCTGGACATCAAAAACAAGCATTTGAAAACAAAATGGAAAAACAAAAACATGCTACATTTTCTTATGCCGTATTTTCCAGACTATAAGTCGCACCAACCATAAAATGCATAAGAAAGAAGAAAAATACATACAAGTCGCATCGGAATATAAGTCGCATTTTTGAGGAAAATTTATTTGACAAAATCCAACACCAAGAACAGACATGTCATCTTGAAAGGCAATAAATATAGAATAGAGGCAAAAACAGGCAGAATAATTATTATAATAATAATAATTGTACAGTATGCTAACACTACATGACAAACAACAAACTGAAAACGTTCCTGGTAAGTTAGCATAACATATTAAGAATTATTCAGATAACTATAGGATAAATAACATGCTAACAAGTTTACCATCCATCCATGTCTCTCCAAATCACTAAATCTTCATCTTCAATGTTGCTTGTAATCAACTCTGCAACTTCGAAGGTAAAATAACGCAGGCCTATAGCGCCCTCTTGCGGTTTAGTGTGAAAATAACATGTGATATAATATAATGGTGTTAATTTCCACACACAAGTCACTTCAGACTATAAGTCGCATCCCCGGCCAAACTATGAAAAAAACTGCGCCTTAATAGTCCAGAAAATACGGTAATTGTTTTCCTCCATCTCACTGAGAGCTTTAAGTGAAAGTTATGATCTGTTTTAACAGAGGAATGAAAACGGTGGCGGGTTTTCTGGGCTTCACGCCACGATGCAGAGCAGAGGAAACGTTACTCCCCTCCTCATCGTCATCTGACCCGACACCGGCTGCAGAACTGTAGATGGGTCCTTGGATCATTTCGCATCTCATTGATGAACGCGACAAAAATCAGAGCCAAGCAAACTTTATGGAAGCACAAACGGTGGAGCTCTGTGCCAAATTGATCACATTTAGCTCCGTCTGAGTCAAAGACGTTTAAAGAACAAAAGAGTTCATTTAAATGAGTTTGTAATTAATTCAAAATGTAACTTCTTAATAGGGCTGAGCGATAAAGAAGCTTAAAAAGAAAATATAGGGTCTTTTTCTAATCAGATTTGATTTTAATAATTTTTTGTTCTCATTTTTCTATTGTTAAAAAAAATCCAAATCACAAATTTTTCTGAGTTAAAATATCGCATCAGAGCCAGACTACAAGATTTATTTTAATTATGAAAATGCAGTCATAAGCTTATCAGAATGAAGATGAGATTTTACTATAATGTCTTAAAATTATGAGGAAAAACTTGTTTCAACAAGAGAAAAATCATGACTAGTAGAAAACACAATAAAGTGGTTCTTAATGTTACCACTTTATTCTCATTTCACTCTTTATTCTTGTAATAAAAAACACAAAAATGTAGGCTGAGTTTTATATCGTGATAGATTTGATGCAAATTCAAATAGAAGCTGTAAACCACACTTGTGAAACAAAATGGTAGACATTGGTTAAATAAAACCAATAAAAGCATTTTTTTTTAAATTCAGATTTTCCAATAATTAAATCTTCAAAACCCAAAGCTAAAACGGTTTCCTTCATTCTGACCTTGTAGCGGTTGGACCACAGCCTGCTGCTTGTTGGGTTTTGTAATGTTTGGCTGTTTCCTCTGCAGGGGAGCCAGAGTGTTCTTGAACGCAGCTTCGTCTTTCAAACTCGACTTTTCCTTCGCCAGCTGGCTGAGCAACGTCGCCTTTCGTTCAAACTCCCTCTGCTTCTCTTTCAGCTCCTGCAGCAACAAACCAGGAAATCTGAATCACAGAGGCGCCAGCTGAGCTTCTGAGCAGGAAGTTTTACTGTTTTAACGTCCAGATTCCCCAGCAAACAAAGCAAATTAAAGAAACTAAATGGGCTGAGCAGTGATTGAACAAAAATATTTCAGATGACCCAGCCGTACTTTAATCCCTGCTGGGTTTCCTGGACTACCCAAATCTAATTTAGTTTTTCTCAGCAATCAATTTCAGTACCATTATTCAAACAAAGCACTCTCCTGGGGGAGAGACTCCAAGTGTCACAGCAGCTGTGATGGCTTCAGAAAAATGTTGAACATAAAATAATTTGTCTGTTTTGTAAATCTGCAGAGTTTTTCTTTGCATTATACAGTATAAAAATCTTCTAGAAATATCTTTTAGGAACCATAGATCCACCTGTTGACATTGCCTGTGCAGACATTGATGCAGCTGAGGTAAACTAAAGCAAATTTAGAGAAGAAAAAAATAAATAAATAAAAAAGACAAAATATGTAGAGGTTTTATATTTGGCAACATCTACAAAACTGGGGATTTCATGTGTTTTTAGTTCAATTTCTGAAAAGAAAAAAAAAAATACTGAAGAACAATTAAGCAAATTAAGCAAAGCAACATAAATACTTTACATCCGTGTGAATCGGTTGCATGCTGTGCGGTCGGCTGTTGGAGACATCTCCTTTTGTTGTGATTGAAGTTCTGAACCAACCGAGTCCAGAATCGGCTTTTTGGTGAAATATAAACGCTAGAGGTCTGCCGATCGATCGGCCACCGGTCAA